CACGCAGGGTGGTCTAGATGTTGGTTAGCATAATGAATACATTCAGACCATGATATTTAACTCACCAGATACATGCTTGCATGTAGCCCATAAGGAGTTGGCTCACTAATGAGCTCATTGGCAACCCCATACTCTTCATCATTCCAGTTGTGCTTGACTTGTAGTTGACGGAGTCTCTTTGCCCTTGCTAGAGATGTCTTGAATCTATCTACTCGACCATCAAAGTAATTATTTGATTTGTCGAATATTTTGTCGGCTTGAAGGATCTTTAGTATACGGTCCTGACGCTCCAATACCTCCTTTGTGAATAAAAAGTTCGAGAGCTTCTCGACATGTATATTGGACTTCTCCCTTTCCGCCTTGATGAGCTCGGTACCTTGCGGGGCGGATGGCTTTAAGTCTTTGACCCATTGTGGAGGTGACATTTTGAATGATTTGTACGGAGAAAAGATGTTTATAGTGAAATTCAAAAGTTACAAGAAACACTTTTGGTTGTTAAGTTCGGCCCTCGGTCAACAATGATTTCGAAGGCGTTGACATATGCGCGCGCCGGTATTGATGAAGTAGAGTTGGAGCTTCCTGACAATGGACCCGGATGCCGAGGCACAAATACGTGCCTGTGATTGGTAAGGCGGTAGGGCTCCGTGGAGCATAAAAATGGGGTTCTCCATCTTCTATCTATCTCCATGATCTCAAAGACAAAACATGATGTGGAGTAAATACTAGTCAATAATGAAAAGAGTATATCTTCAAATTTATAAGAAATAGCCGGTTAAATACATACTCTGTTACACCCAAACAGGGGCTATCGTCAAAATGCGTTTACCCCATTCGCTACAGTTTCAGTGAAGCAGTGGTCAAGAAATAATCAACCGCCTCATCTATGCCGGCACGAATTCGAAGTTGATATCGCGATCATGGAGATTCATACATTGTTATGAGATGTTCGTTGATAAGTTTAGTGAAATGTTTCTAGGAGATGTCAACTTGCAATTGGGTGGCACATTTGGCAAGTAGTATCATCATCGTTCCTTCCATTTTATTCCTATATCCTCCGTTCCTTCTTGCTTGAGTAGACGACTTCAGAAGTTTCGCTGTATCAATATCGAGAAATCCAATACAACTTTTAATTGTTGTTACAGTCCTAATACATAATTTTCTACACTCTCATCACCAAATGACACCTCAAAACCTATTACATCGCTGGATTCAACCTTCATTCGCTTTAATGCTCCTGTTTCAAGTTATTCGTGTATATTTAAACCACTATCATCTCGATGGCAATACCTCCGCAGGAACCGCAACAAGCACATCTGCAACCCCACCAGGACCCCTCATCGGAAGTGGCAGAATCTCCGTCGACGTCTGACCCAAGTGAACCGAGGTCTTGCGCGCAACGCCGGAACTCAAGATACTGCGTAGAGGCCTGCATAGAGTCTTTGAGCTGGCGCGGATGGCTCGTTTATCTTGCCTGCCTGCTGATAATAATCATCATTATTGGAATCGTCTGCAGCGCCCATGTATACTATCATGATATGGGAGGCCAAGGTTGGCTCAAGCTGAAGCGAAGGAGCCAAAAAGAATCTCATCAAGTCCAGAACTTTTCGCAAGTATGTCTGCCATCGAGACAGCTGGGATTTCATAGTCCAGTGCTGGCTTTAAGTCGAAGGGTACCAGCCACTGTACCTTGGTATACCTGTGGAGATCAGCAAAACAGTTGTGAAGCATACGCCCATCCCGTGAGTCTCCATTCGAACTTTGCGTTCCCTTCTATGACTGATCATGTCGCTCGCTTGCTACAGGAGATTTGCTGTCCTCAAGGTATGATTTGTCGACCTACAACTCACACCACATCAGGTATATACTGTTGCAATGGGACGATATCACACTCTGATTGTCGTCTCTTGAGAGCCCACGCAAGATGTAGACCAAACTACTTTGAATGCCCGGGAGACATGGGAGGAGGTTGCTGTCCTAATTCGACGACTTGTTACAAGAATCAATGTATTCCTGTATATCAACAGCCATCTTCTGTTCGACCGTCGAATGGGCCAACAGTGACACCCTGGCCAGCTGCTCCTGTACCAAGGGAAGGAGAGATAGCACAAGGGTCACGACTTATGATATCGACGTTTTGGTGTGCTGGTTACTTTTCGGCATTGAGCTTCTTGATCTTCGTGGGTGCCGCGATGGTGATGCTCTGATAGCAGTCTGGATACAGTATCATGCAAAAAACATTGATGGCGCCAACAACGTATGCTTTTGTTTTATTACCAGTAGTTGGCAAATCAAGTTAAGAAACCTTACCATTACGCGCAAAGGATGGAACGGCAATTAATATGGTGAATCTGATTGACGATAACTACGATGTGAGACATTCATTGATTACCGGTACTTGCTATCATCGTACATGCATTCACGGGGCACTTGACCGACTCACAGATGCTTTCCCACTCAATTTTGGTTAAACCACAAGTTGTCTATCGATATCTTTGGGGCTCGTTAATCGAATACACAAATTATCTAACCATTTCGAGACCAGTCGAAGCCGATTGCTCCACCCTAATCTACTCGTGTACATCAATACAACGATATTCCCTTCTGGTTTCTTCTTCTTCAGAACCTCTACAAGTTTATTGGATGAAAGCACAACAAGCCACAATCTATCAATGAGTTTTCACAACTTGCAGACAAACGTCAACAGTTAAATTGCGATGCTGGGTAATACGCCTCTCGATTGAAAATACTTTCCCCTTCCATACCGAGCCATTTTGATCACCCATCACAGTGACACACTGCACGGGACGCTGGAATTATAATTTAAATTGATACAAAATTGAGGGTACGGTACTGCATGATTACTCATGACGATCACTTCAATGCTGATGCTATCGATTTTTGATATTTGTTTTATCTCAACTTCCCAAGGCTAGGATTGATTTAGGTGGATATGAAGCGGAATATGATCTTTTCGCCAATCAATATTCCAACCAAGTCTTTTCGATTCATAATAGCGTGGCAAACGATCGAAACACTGACAGCCAGTAACCTTGAAAATTGGAATGTTAACGAGTAATAATTAGAACTACAGCTTGTCCACAATGTACATGAACCTAGAAGCATTCCGAAGTATTTGGGTTGTTTTCTTAGGCCCCATCAGTAGTGGCTATTAGTTAGATGTTGGGCGTTTATAGTTCAGTCCGAAAATTGAAAGGACGGCGAGGACTTTAAAGTTTAGGGACTACAAAGTACCGGCACTCTTCAGACTTCAATATTGAATCATCGGACTTACACATTTCTGAGACTACCAGCTTACACTGCACAGATCAAAACTTCACGAGTCAACGGGATGTGCTACCAGTACATACCGTACATGCACGGTTTTCACCCCATATGCAATGCGGACGAGGCAGTGCCGACTCGTCGTGGGGCTCGGACGTCATCTTGGATGGCGAAAAAAATTCATCCATCTTCTTTGTCTTGCGGGTTTTCCAGTCTTGAATGGTTTGGGATCTAGGATTCCGGGTGTCCATCTAGCCTCTAGGAGACCACGAAGCTTCGGTTTGCAAGGAGTCCTTGATAATTCCTTGCCAATTCCTTGTCATCCACTCTCTACTCTGCTTGTCTCGTCCCGGGAAAAAGAGATTGTATAGGGTCTTAATGACATATATCCACCATGGATATGGTTTCGGCAACGTTTAGTAGCTCTAGCGGTACGCTTCGCTGTGCTAAGATAGTATACTATGGCAATTACTCGAGCTGGTATTCATTTTTCATCAAAGGCAGCAAGCGCTGAAAGACAAACAAGGTACCAGACAGTCTAGAGGAGGTATCTTGTCTCTTTTGGGAAGTACACAGATATTTTGACTGGCTTTATTTGCGTATGCTTATTGACAGTAGTTGCCAGTATGCATATAATAGTGCCTCCACTTCCACATGGCAATACTTATCATCTCAACCCAGTGTCATCTTCATCTCTACATTGCATATCTTTGGCCCACTCCCTCCCTATAATAAACTTTATATCTCGAGGATAACTTATCATCATACCCTAACATCGAGTGCTTGGGTCTTTAGTTTAAAAGACAAACTTTCATAGTCATGTCGCTACTATTTTATAGAAGACCGGATTATACAAACAAAACAACGGGTCCTATAAATGCTACAGAATGTCAACGTTATGTTGCAAGAGCGAGGAGTGAGTAGACTTTGTCTCAACCAGGCTAATTCAACTAACAACCGCCAGATTCTGAGCGGGCAATCCCTCCGGGACTATCGTTCGAAGACGTGATTGGAAACCGATCACTTCCAGTAAGCTTGAAGTCTTCTCAATGATGTAACATTTACTGATATTGTGTCAGCCATGCTCTTTGAGTGACTTTATGGACTTTCTCGTTTATATTGAGCACGATGCAGAGAATCTTCAGTTCTATCTGTGGTACAAGGATTACGTTCGTCGATTTGAAGCTCTCCCCGATCACGAAAAGAGACTTTCTCCAGAATGGGTGCCAGAAATGACAGAGCTTCCGACTCTTGCCAGAGACACAGAGAAGAATGCAGGAAGGAAAAGCAAACCCACAATTGATATGCCAGATTTCAACAATCACAGTGATATGTCCGACTTTGATGGAGACGTCAAGTCGAGGGATGGTCACACTCCTACCACTCTATTTCCGGCCGATAGCGCTATTGGTAGCCCAACAGCTCCTTCGGTATTGTCAAACAACACTGGCAGACGCTCAGGGGAAGCCCTGGGCCAACCAGTTCTCAAATGGCAACCTTGTACGTCCGAAGTTTATTGAATAAAAATACTAGGCCTAACTCTTTCTAGTCACCATTCAGCCAATGCGAGAAGAGGTAAACCGTATAATGCGTCATTACCTTGCTTTCAATTCAGCTCGAGAGCTCAATCTATCCCATAAAGACCGCGCTTCATGTCTACACGCCCTCCAACATACCACCCATCCATCAGCCTTCTTACCCGCCGTGACCATCACCGAAGCTGCACTTCGAGGCCAATCCCATCCAAACTTCATTAGATGGTCCATATGCAACGGTAACCGACCTCGTGTCTTTTTCGTCCGAACTATGGGCGTCAGCAATACAATACTTGGATTTGTGATGGCTATCCTTTTGATTCTATCAAGCACTAGTCGATGGTGGAGAGTCTTCGCGGGTCTGCAATGTTTTCTAGGCATCACCACGTTAATAGCAGCCTACAAAGGTCTCTGCGTCATCATGCACCAAACCCACAATCGCAATCTGCGCCCCTGGGAGCAAGTTCTCCAGAACGACGCCGATGAAGAAATCGGACGAGCCTCCTTTGAAAGCTCATCACAACGACGCATTCAATTGGCAACACGCACGGGCGACGAACATGATGCGAAAATTGACGGGATATCCATCTCTCAAACTTCGACCCTGTCGAGTTTCGGGCCGAAGAATGATACAGAGGAATATGAGGAGAAGTGGAGGAGCATCTACAGGAAGAAAAACTTGGTGCGGAAAGTTTTTGATAAGTCGACTTGGACCCAGGATGAAAATCTGAGGTTGTTGCAGGATAAAATTGTAATTGGGGCGATTGCTTGGAGTTTTATTATTACAGTGCCGTTGACAGTGGCATTTGTTGCGTTGCCGAAAGGGAATTTCTATTAGGTTTGAGGGTTTTGTATCAAACTTGAAGGTCCTCGTGGAGATGACATGATATCAGGATATTCTCTTGTACGTGGAAATGAGTTAATGTATGTAATTGTTGGGACTTGGGGTTTATTTTCTGATAATTTTTCTTCGTTTTATATATTTATTTAATTGAATTCATTCCTTCATGTATTCGTTCACGTATCTCGAGTGTGCTCAGTAATTGAGGTTCGAGGCAATAGGTTGATAAACGATTAAGATATGCTTCGAAACGACCATTGATGATTGATGATTAATGAGCTTGTGAACGGAATTTCGATTTGATGAGGGCGAGGAGGCATACCTTCCCTGTTCATTTCAAGTTCCGCTCCTCTCATGGCACGACCGATCAAATCAATAAGCTTGGTAATTGGAAGTCTGAAGACACCTCCGACAATACATGAGTTGAATTTGATTTTTGGAAAGGAAAGATCACACGGTCTGGGCTTCTTAACCTATAGTTTGGGAGAAGAATCAACAGATTGAAAATTTTTGCTGCTTACATACTCTCAATATCCCATGCATGGCAAATTGGCAAATCGCTTTTACAATCATTCATCCCATTCATCCCCCACGTGTATATGCAAGCGCATACTCGGTGTTTCTATTGAACCTCAGGCTAAGTGGCCACTTATATAGAACCGTTGGGATTATTCATCTGTGGCGTTAACCTTAATGTTCATGTAGGTTTCGCCTCTTCTCACGGTCAAGTCCTGCTGTTATTGAAGATCTTGGTTGGTGAGGTTGAAGTTATCGAGGCGCAAGTGTGCTGCTGTGGTATATGCGTGGTGCCGTAACTGTCATTGATTGTGGTTACACAAGATCGTATCGATCAATCCGTGGAGTAATGATGATTCGTTATAACATACTAGAAAAACATTGGGGGTATTAGGGTGAAGGCTCTCTTAAGGGGTCTCTCTTCATGTCATGGAAGATGAATTTTTCTTTTACTTTCTCGAGTTTTATTTGAAGTTCATTCAAAATGACTACAGCAGCACCTGTTGCAAGCAGTTCGGCTAATGTATCACCACCTCCAGCTGTGTGTTATAACACATGTAGTAGGTGCATCTTCTCTTTTCTCGAAGTTGTGTGAAGAATCACTTTATCTCTAGACAATGTATACATTGCAGCGTTGAAAACTGGCAAGACACCAGCATTATGTGCACCCGAATCAGAGTTCGAAACTGGCTACAGTGCTTGCCAAGCATGTGTCGAAGCAAATAGCGATGTTGACGCGAACGCAGGAGCAAATGTATACGCTACGTTTGCGCAGTTCATTGACTATTGCGCGTCGCAAGTCACAATCTCGGGTGTAGCAGGAAATACTACGATGGCGACGATCTCAAGTTCCGGTAGCCAGTCGTTCTCTTCACTACCTTCTTCGCTCCCACCTTTCACGAATGCTGTTTCTAGTCTTACCGTCAGTCCTTCTGGGTCGGCATATTCAACTGTCACAGCCATCAATACTGAGCTTGTTCCATTATTCAATGGAAGCACAATAACTCTAACTATCACGAATCTGATAACCCTACGGAGTCAACCAAGTATCGGTAAGTAGTCCCGACCATTTGAAATGCGCAATAATAATTTGTATTTCCATTCAGCTTCGTCCTCTGCTGCAACGGTGCCAACGGAAACACAATCCGAAGCGTCACCTGACCATGCGCAATTTTATGGCATACTTTTCGGATCGATTTTTGGCGGTTTATCAGTAATCATCTTTAGCTATTGGATCTACAGGAGATTTTGGAGGCGCCAACTCTTGCGGAGATCAACAGATAGCGATACTGCTGCTGGCAAAAATGATAATGAGAAGGCACAATTACATTCGGACTGTGTACCTTCAACTTCTATAGACCCTCAAGAGATGGATGGATCGCCCAGAGGTCCCATCGCAGAATTACAAGCTGTAGAGCCGGTGGGCGCAGAGTTGACATGAATTGTTTATATGGATTCCACGTGAATTCTAATGGGGCGAGGATGAGCAGATTTAAGTGGTTTTGTGGGATAGATACCCGAGTGGTGTAGTGTCGAGAGACGTTGAGATATTGTGAGTTACACATTGTCTGTGGCATATAGCTTGGTCCAGGCCAAATGGTCGTGTAGAATAAGCTGAGTTATTCTAGTCTCAAGCACAATGCAATGCATTATGCATTGCATATCATCCTCAAATCTTCCTCTTACCCACTTGGAGCCTGAAGGTGCCGTGAAATGTTGGTATATAAGTAAAATTACTTATTTGAAAATTTCCTCGTTTGTCTATTTTTCACGTGCGTTATATGTATGCTTTTTTGTTGCTAGATTAACCTTTTACCTTCCTTCAGTTCCTGGGCCAAGTATATGTAGATACGTTGACATGTAGAATTTACCAATAGCTGATAGCTCTTTCTTTAGTAAATCAGAAATTGACTTCGAGTCTCCGGCTAGAATCCCCAGGGTTATTTTCCATCTTCAAGTCTTTCACGCACTCATTTAGAACACAACCTCTGAATATGTTATTTCTGCGCTTCCAGCATGTTTCGACGTCTTGTTGGATTTATCATCTCATCATGAACCACGTATGCGATGTCGATATCCTTAAACATTAATATCTTCCATAAGCTGTAACCTTAAATAAAATCTCAATCCAAACAATGAGATCCTCACAACCACCCACATCTTATAAAGAGCCTCGTATATAACCTCATCACACGAAAACAGTCTGAACGTTGAGATATCCATCCATCCATCCAAGCTAGAAACGATCTAAGCAGATCTCTCATTTCCACTTCCATTCCCATGATCTATTCGTTTACCCAATGTTCCCATTTACATCCACATCCACATCTACATCCACATCCACAATCACATTATCCGAAGAGCAATTCGAATAGCTCCTTCCTTTCCATATTCATCGCCATCGCAATTCTCCAGTTCTCGGCCTTGAACCCAGCTCATGGTATTCCGTGCCCTCACATTCGTATATCTTTTGCCGCGCATCGAATAATTCGACAGGTCGTTCCGCGGCCATGCCATGATTTCGGGTGTATTTCCAATTTCGATACGATATTTGGGAGAAGAGAACATGATATCAGTCTGATTTTGATAGGTACGAAGAAGAAAACTGATCCTAAGCCGTTTTTGATGAATACACTATAATACTGGAGTTGGCTAAAAACACTCCGAATATAATGGAAGGCGCGATGAGGATATATGCAATGCCATATTTCGAAACCATGTTCTCTGAGTCTAGTAGAGATAGTGATTCCTTTTGAGATGTGAAATTCGTTTATGATATTTCATATTGGGGCTGAAATCAAGACATGGAAAGCTTTCCCCATACCAGGCGTTGCAGTCGGTTCAATATCTGCCGGTGTATTGCTGCAATTTCTGGTTCTGTTTTGAATCACGTCGGAGAGCGACGGAGTCAATCTATCTAACGAAGGTGATGGTATGTTAGTGGAGGAAATCAGTACAGCAAAGACCGAGCCATTTGTCACAGCCTCACAAGTAAAAGTATGGGATGAGGATATTTTGTAAAGACACCTTCCGTGACAGCCAGTCAGTCGACGACTAATTTTCGACAAACTTATCAGATTGACCTGTATCGAGTCTTTGCTACCCCGGTTCTCCAAACCTTAATCAATGTTTTCAAACCGGCATTGACATGAATATGACGAGAAGTAATTTGATACTAAAATTAGACCACGAAAGAATTATGACTGGGCATATATGTATGTCAGCAGCCCCATATAATATCCCCCAGCCAAAACTTCTAGTCTCTCACTAGAAAAGTAGATTTGTAATGAAAAATTGGAAGATAAAGCTCGAATGTAGTCTGTAGAAATAGCTTGTGAGGGATAAATTAACAAGCTTTAGGCCTAGATTATCCACGATTCGAAGAAGTTTTTCTCCGTGTCTATACTTGGATTGAGCCTTTGGCAGTGAACCGGACGCAAATTGTACATTTTCGATTTTTCGATACGAGCAGGTCAACCATGAAAACTCGATCTTCAACAAAGGGGGAGATGTCTTCGATATTGACCTCGCATATCGATTTTAATTGAGGAAAGCTCAGAAAGATAGATCGGTATCTCAAGGTTAACAATTGTTGAATCGTGTGCTATGAACCGAGGAGTAGAAGAAGAAGAGACGTTCTGAAAAGAAGACCGAATCAGAGACGCATATTTGATTAATCCAACTATTTGAAGACCCTCGAATGAGATTTGTGCTCTGGATCTACTACTGTCCACAGCTATCTCCCATCGACTAGGGAGGTATATGCACGCCGACATTATATAATAGATGTAATGATTTGATCTTTAATGACAAGAGAGGAATAAAAACACGTGTCCATTCTATGCTCCTTATTCCAAAAGCTTGTCACTTAGGCCAGATAGGAGTACTGTATGGTCTGGGTTGAAGTCCAAGTATGACGAAACTCTATGCTTTACTACCTTTATCGGAAAATGACCAAACGAAAGAAGGAATCGATCAAGGTGAAATGCAAAACTTGGAAGAATCTTCCATGCTTATACCATAGTGAAGAAGTAGGACTTCTAAAATATCTTGTATTAGCAAACGACTCCGATATGGGTTGGCATTGCTTGTAATATGCTCATCTGGGGAGTAGTTTCACTTTCAATCTTCGCCACAATCAAGCCCATTGAATCTTACATTATTACACAGAACATCTAAGGCTTGGTATATCAGGCTAATGCCTGCCCATATTGGCAAGCAAAAAGAATATCTGAGATTGGATACTAAACAGATATGCAACATAATTTTATGAGATGTACTGTGTAGTCTCGAACTTACTGCAAGAAGGTAATAGTATCAGCCTATACCAACTAATTTTTATTGAACCGTGATAATAGTACCAGCCCGGTTGCTAAATACTGATGGTAATGGCCGAATCATTTAAGAGGATTGGAAGTTCAGATTTGCTAGACTCATGACATCTAGAATGTCGATTTGTTGTATATCAGATTTAATACACTCTGGTGTCCACTTGAGAATGATAGCTTATCTTACATGGAAGCTGAATGAGATGGTGAATTGTTCTGAGGTGGAGAGTAACCTGGAAGATGTTTCGTCAAGAAAAGGCACTTTTCTTTTAAAAACGGATAATCAGCAAACTTCGCAACTCAAAAAAATAATAAGAAACCTTCGAGATATGCCACGAAGCATTGATAGTTCAAGCGAAGTATAGTAGTATGGAAGTAGTGAAGATGCAAGTCAATGGTCCTTGATCTGAGCAGCTTTTCGTGATTGAGGTGGGTATATGAATAGACGGTGATAGATGTTATTCCTACCTTGGGTTGAGATGTACTGAGTAGTATGTACAACACATAGCAATCATTATGGCACACAAGACCTAATAATTCCTTTGTAAAAGAAGGACACGATGGAAAAGTAACGAATGTTATGTGAGACTAATCACATGTTTATAGGTCTTTAGCCATCGGCGCAGTACAGCCAACCAAAGTAGGTGTCACGCAAACGCTTTGAAAACCAACACCGAGTAAAAGGTGTATCATGAAAGGAATAAAGAAAGAAAGAAGTGTCTATACTCTGTAGGTGTTCAAGAAATGCGAGAAGAGAAGGGAGGCTCGGCCCATGCCACCAATACCAACAGCTACATATCCCAAATCAGTATTGTATTACCCGTCAACCTTGTCCGTCAAACCCGCATACATCATCTGGGAATGTGACCAACAACGCCCTGCTTTGCGTGACCTGCGCACCCACGCACCTCAACTTTCCTTGTCTTACAGTTGCAGAAGCGGCATAAAAGTTAGACAGTTGAGACTGGGATTGGAAAAGCGCTAGAGTCAGGAGATAGTAATGTGCAGGAATGTGAGTGAGTATTATGCAAGATGCCCCTCATATTGTGGAACTGAGAACTTTAAGTTGAATTTGTTCCGGGAAGTTGAATGTATGTGGGGCTTTCTCTTCTCTTCATATGCACATCAACACGTGAGATTCACGTGATAATTAACCATCAAAGTAAGATTTACCAGACATTACGTACAATATACAAAAATACACTTTGAGTGGATCAATCATTTGCTGCGAGTAATACACTTGTACATTATTTACCCGCCGACACTAGATCTGATGTGGGATTGGTTTGTGCTGAACTGGATGCATTACATCATGATGGGGTTGCGGGTGGTGCATACATTTTAGTGGCTTGATGAGAATGGGAAGGCAGGGCAGAAGACAAAAGCAAGCAAGCGGAGAAATAAATGATTGTAAATGCAGAATCCTTGATCAAATGAGGCTTTTAGGTGAGGGGATATGGAGGGGGAGGAAATCGATTGATTGGAATGATCGTCTGTGCGACGACTGCAGATTGGAGAGAGGGGAGGGATAGCACGGTCGGGTAGAAAGCTGGATGTCCTGAGCAGGCAAAAGGCATAGGTAGCAACGGTAAGTGTGATGGATCAAAGGGGGAGAATGCCGCGTTACGAAGAAACATACCGGTAATCGGTCGGTCATCGGAGTGATGATTTTGGTGAATTGAGATGTTCAATTGTTGACCAAAAGAAGTGGAGAGTTTTTACTAGTAAAACCGTTGGAGAAATGGGTTTTGTAGTTATCTTTCGTATAAGGCCGGATTTGGAGACTGATTACGAGATGAGATGATTGATGAGCCGTGATAATACATGCGGGAGCATTCACTAACATACAACAAGGCTGATAGTGACATGAAAGATACCTCGAGGCGTAGTACTATAAGCAGAATTTGGACCCTGCTTACCTGCTTGTCTGTCACTACACTCCTACTGTACTTCGAATTCATCCTTCACTTCACCGATTCATTCTAAGAATTCGAAGAAGACACGGAAAGATGATTGATTGATCAGTTTTCTTCTGCAACTAACCCATCCTTCCATTACATTTGTGCGAACCTTCAACATCGTACTGCTTTGTTTTGCTTTGCTGACTGCATCGAACAATCATTTATTTCGAGAAAAAAAGCTCGTGATGGCTTATGACAACTCGATGACTATCTATTCATCCGATATAGGAAAGAATTACACAAACTCAATATTATCCATGTCAATCCAATGCCTGCAGAATCAATCGAGGGCACTTGACTTTGCCTGGTTCATTCCAACATTAATGCCAGTTCTTACACGACCTCTTCTTTCCGTCTAACTCCATCGTATCGTGTGAATGATTTCTTGTTATGCCCCACCCCCCCCCCTTCATTCTTTCCCCTTGTAATTGATATACTCTTCGGCAAATTTCTGATAATATACAAAAGAGTAGATCTTAAGAAACATCTCCACTCTTCATTATCGATAAAAGGATCCATCCATCACAAGCGTCATTCTTCAAGGATTATTTTAAAAGGTTGTGATGGGACTTTGTTATGATAGGATGGATGTTTGCGTTTGTTCTTCCACCAGTACGACCTCAAATTAAGCGAAGATGATTGTTGGCCTTCCTAGAAGTCTGAATGGCTGTAATTTGTAGATGAACAAGAAATTTAGTCGCCAGAGCACTCGATTGATTCTAGTTCCCGTCCATGCACCCATGTTCACCTTGCTTACGCGCCCAACAACTGCAGCTCACCTTGATCACCTTTTGGGTCTATAATGATATTCCTTGGATTTTGTCAATTGGACTGTATAATTCGTGGAGTCCGAATGTACGGTAATCTATCCGGACGCAGCCCTTCCTTGTTCAATATTGTCCTGTTTGCATGCGGTCGGGATTGGCGGGAATTCTAGGATTTTAATCAATTCTACGCCTTACCATAGGTAGTCCTGTGGTGGGCCCATCCAATGATCAATCTCAATGGCAATGATGGTTACCTCTTCCTCTTCGAACATAAAGGGACGCTGTGCCCCCTCTCAAAATATCTTCTTCTCTTTAGCAAGCAAGTCAATTCATCTTCCAGAGCTAGTCTCCTTCATTTTCCCGCCCTTTCTTCATTTTTCTTCATTTTTTTGTTTTTACCCCCCGTTTTTTAAAGAGCTGTGCTCTGTAATATCATACCAAAATCTTTTACATTCTAATCATTCTATCAAGTTGCCGGTCAACTTTTTATTAATTTTCATTCCCAAATCTCATAATCCATACAATCCGAATTACACTCCCAAAGACTAGTCTCTTCTTGCTCGAATTAGCCAATCTCAGTACATTTGAAAATTTTCATCATAGTATTTTGCATCAACGATCTCGAAATCAATAAAAATGGCTGCTATTCAATTATCTTTCGCTCTCCGCGTTTCTTCCAGTGTAAAGACCGTTCATTTACTTGGTAGCTGGGATAACTACGCTGGTCAACTTCCACTTGCTAAGGACAAGACTTCCTCGAAATCAGGTAGCTGGAAAGGTACATTCAGATTTCAAGGCACCACTCTTCAACCTGGTCAAAGATATTGGTATTACTACATCATCGATGGATACCATGTCTCACACGACCCTGCCATATCATCAACTACCGAACCAACTACCGGTCGCGTCCTGAATATTCTTGACGTCCCAGCCGAAAAAACTTCAAGTCGATCCTCCAAGTCCAGTTCATCAAGCTCCAAGCATTCCTCCAGCTCAAAATCATCCCATTCCTCCTCACATTCATCTGCCCGCAGAGAATCCCGCCGTGACTCACATCTCAGCGTTGACATCCCAAAAGGACGACCCCTCTCCATCTCTCAAATCAAATCTCCCAAACCCTTGTCTCCACACGCCACCAAGCACATACTCGAAGCTGACTACGCCGCTGGTCCAACTGTCGACGAACTCACCGCACGTTTTGGTGCCACCACTATGGAAGAGTACGAATACTACGATTACGATCTTCCAGGATCACCATCTTCGTCTGTCGGTTCTACCATTTCCGATACCAGCGGTACAAGCTCACCATCTTCTGCTTCGAGTGTGAGCGATTACTCATCAGGTTCCAATCAATCATCATGCACGTGTGAACGATATGGAATTACGAGAAAGGGAGACAGAATCAAGTTGGATTGTGGAGGTTCTCGATGCGCGTACAGCGACTCAGAATCCTGTAGCTCAGAAGACGAGGTCGAATACTCGCAATCATCTCGCCGAAATGGAATCGTTGTCCGTCGATGAATGAAATCCGAATTTACCTGACTGGAAACACCAAACAACACCTGGACGCAAACGCAGCGCCACGAAGAGAGAGAAGTGCCATTGTCGACACTTGTTCGAATCTTTACCTCATTGCCAAACATGCATACATACATCACGTCAAGTCTGGTACTTGTCATGGTGTATGTCCCACTGGAAGCCGAATCCGCGGCGCAAAAGCGAAACGAACGATATATTCACGAATTTCATGTACCACCTTTTTACGCACGCAGTATTGTTTGCTCGGTCTATTCTTTATGAGGGAAAAACCTGGAATTCAATTACTTCTTACACACGACAAGTTTTCATGGAACTACTTTCTCTCCTTCATTTCTTGGAAGGAAAAGCAAGGGTTACCACATGGAGAGGAAGAAAAGGGGATGATCAAATTGCCACAGGGATAAGGGGGCATAGGTACAGGATAATGATAGACACATACGCTCATGAGAAATGAGATATGACAGGTCTTTCTTGGGAATGAATCATGATGGTCATGATTCATGATGACGAGAACTATTGGCACGACAGATTGGATAATGATTATGTGTCAAATCATGATAACGAGACAATAGATAGATAAAAAAAAAGAGCGGACAATCAAATCTATTCCGCACCATTTTTTGAGATCCTTTTTGATTTGTGTGTGATGTGATTGTGAGTGATTTGAATGTGCTAGTCGCCAGTCCTTCGCATCGTCCGGGTTTCATATGTCAATATTGTATCTGGCACAGCACTTCATGGCTCAAGGGATAGCGCATTACCAATGGCCCAATCAGATCCTAACGCAAAGAGGAAGTAAGTGGCGTAACTCTCATTCATCGCATACTTCCCAATTTCTTCAAAGGTATCTCAATAGCCTCCTCGAGTAGAACCACAAACCCCATTCCATGATTTCCATCCCATCGCATCGCCAATTCGGTCCCATCCCAAACACCGGCCGCAGCCACCATATTTTCTCCTTTTATCTACCGCTGACCCTCGACTCGACCTCATATCAAACCTCTCCAATCCCAGCTTTCTCCACCCTAATTCATCATTCCTCATTCCCACATTCCTCCCCACAGTCTCGAAAACATATATGCGATGAAAACAGTACCGGTACTTGTACATTACCAACCAACATCTACAAGTACTCGGGTAATCTTCAAAAATTAATTAGTAAATATATACAAAACTCTCCTCTCACTAGGCTTCATATGTCAAATTGTCAAATTGGGATATTCTGAGTGGTGAATACCTGGGAATCTTTTACAGTATGCTTGTTCTTTGAGGACTTGCGTTCACTATGTAATATAACTCCCTTTTTCTAGCAATCAGGGCACAATGTCACTGTGCAATGATTTCGAGGTATGTCTAAAAAATCGAATCATGTTCAGTTAGTTTCATCATAGCAATACTGTTGTCCGGTATAATCCTCGCCTTCACCAAAACGCGTTGAATCACTGAAGAGCAACAGAACTTAGTATAGAGTTGAATAGATATCAAACCAGATCATATTCAATATATCCTCTCTTGTTCCAATACTTAGACCTTACTTAATACTGTCCCTCTTAGATGTTTATCTCAATAGTATTGGATGATATTGCATAACTTGCATCTCATTCCAGGATGCTGAAGCTGAGCTCAAACTATAATGTCAAAGGTTTTCAGCAATTTTTTTATTTCTCTCTATACTACCATCTTATCATTATTGTACATCATTTCTCCGTCGACCCTATATTTTTTTTGTATTATCATTTCATCATTTCATCACTCCCATCATTTCCTCCTTGATAACCCAACACAGTCTGACAACAAAAATTGTGATCAGACGGAAACTTTAAAGTCTAGATGATAGGTACTTACCATGTCTTCTCAGACCCTCTTTTTCATGGACTTCTACTCATCTACAGCAAATTTAAACATCTCACAAATGTGGTGAGACTCAGATCCTGCGATTCTCCATTCCTCTGCGCCAAAAGACTACTGAGCATACTTTAGACATCAAAAGTTCTTAAAGTAACACCCTCCTTCCTTCGCATCGCCCACTCTATTCACTTTCCCTGGTTACTTTCGTAGTCAATTCGAGCTAAGTCATCTACAAACTCCAAGCTGATGTCTGAACTGAAGTATTCACTTCAACGATCCTTATGCCTGTGCCAATTCTCAATGTTCTACTTAACTCGATTCGCCGTACAACTGTGAAATCTTTCTCTCCAGAGATCTGTTACGATCTAGAACCTGGAGCCAGTTCCTTGGACTTGGACGTAACATACCCGTCTGGCTTAGCCTTGGCTTTCGAAAAAAGTACAATAACACCTGGAATTCTAACACTGATTATCACACTTTATTAAGTATATCACAGTTTCCCAAAGATATATCCCATCCCATTTCTTCTCAAATTTTCAAACTGTCAAAACTCTCTTCGAGAACCTGCTGTCACCCTCTAATTTTCTCCATCACTTATATGCGAAAAGTCAATTAGCGAAGAACTATGAGATGACTTTTGTGAGCTTCAATTTTCTGATTATAGCGACTCTCAGAGCATCGCTCTACGTCCTGACCACAAAGGAAGAGAATGGAGAATGGTAGCAGTTACATGTACTTGTTCTCTTCCTTCTAGCATTGCCAAGGATTATTGTGCTTTACTCGAGTACAATAATACCAAGAATACCAATCTATACCACTGGCAAAAAAGAAACAATTGCATTATAAATCAGGTTTTTGTTAAAAATAATAGATGTGGATGATGATTCAATCCAAATCAATGATATAATTTGGGCGAGATCATTGTTTTTTGTACCGGTAGATTTTGTATTAGAATACAAGGAATCAATCAAAAAAGTAAAGAAACTTGACAAAGGTTCAACCCAAGTTGTTGTAACCAGGCTGCTTTGGATCTGAGGGACCACAGGCGCTATTTAAGTATAACTAATACCCCGTCAATCTCTCGAGTATCTTCTTGCAGTAGCGAGTATGATAGACCCCTCTTTTGAGATTCACTACTCTACTTGGAGACCTTCATTTTCACACGAATTATATCCAGATGTATATTGCACATCAACTAAAAAAACTGGAAAGCCTACTCAAGCAGCGAATGTCCGGAAGAGGGGTAGAAGCTTCGAGAATAACTTAGAGGATCGTTATTCACTCCATCTACTAGCTTCCCCTCCGAGTCCTTTCCCTCCGTTAGAACGTGAATCACTCTCCAATCCTCACAACCTCCATAAATATCAAGACTATGAACGAGAAGCTGAACTCGAATAAGAGACTTTTTGAGATTGAGCCACAGATTGACGGTCAAGTTGACTACTGAATTTCGAATACAACCCTCAAATGCAGTAGTTGCTCTGCTAAAATTATACAAATAGTCTTACGTGAGATTGCAGAAATGAGTAGGAGGAGTCTACGACAGTATCCACCTCATCAATCTCATCTCTGGTTTCCTCGAGCTTTATACTGTTGTCAATCTTCAATGTCATCCCATGGCCATATCGTCTCGCATATACCAGCTTTATCTTATCCGATAAACCGACTTACTTCTTCTCTTGTGCTATCAGATCACAAAATTTGCACAGGAAAGGCCTCGTCAATTGTGCTGCTTAGATGATGTTATTGAGCTTGTGCTCTAATAAGATAGTCACTGTGAAGAAGAAAGCCACATGACTAGTGGCCCATCCCCCTAAGAAGCGAAACATTTACTTTATAGTCTCATTTATTGGGATAACACTGACTAAGGGTATGATCTGACCAGGTAAATTGAAGAACTGAATGCCAGCCCATCTCTATCAACCCAACGTTTCCAACGATAGCAGTGAAAAAAATCAAACCCCGGCCAATGATGATAACGATGGCCTCGGAAAACATGTCCGCATCCAAAATAACCCAAAATCAAATCATACTCTCTTTACCAAAATGATGGCGTCACTTAGAGTCACAAAGTACTTCTCCAATACGCAATATTCGGCAGCGAATTCAATCGTTTTCATTAATAGATCTAAAAGCTACATATGAAAGGAGTCACATTCTCCTCCTGCCATATAGTCGTATGCATCCAACGCATCGCAGTAGCTCGGGCGCGTTACTACTGTTCCTTCAGAGCAAAAGCAGCGATATTTTATCATGCTAACCCTCGCGAAGCTTGCGAATAAACGAGTGAGCTCGCGAAGCCAGCGCTGCGGCCTACAGGTCTTGTTCAACTTTTGTTTTGCCAATATTGAATTAGCAGATACTCCAAGCGAATCAGTATCCCGAGGAATCAGTCGAAACTGATTCACTTGGTTCGCCTGGTTGAGTATCCTTATTTCCAACCGAAATCTTAGAAGTCACACCTGCCTCCACAACATATTCCTCAAAATTTTCAGTCATGAGAATATTGAAGACTTTATGGATCTTCTCGGCATTCTTATATATCTGGTCATAGTTGATATCGGCTTCAAAGACAGCATAGTTCATATTGAGCTTGAATCTCTCGGTCGATTCATCACTATCCCAGCAGGTACTGATAGCCTGAGTATAGGCCTCGCCATCGGTACGCAAGTAGAAGAATATTACTCGGGACTGATAAGCCATGAGTTTGTCGTCTTCATTACCGCTGGTGTTAATATGCTGAACGAGAATCATTGTAATAAAGTGAGAGACTGGTGTTTTGGTATCACTCGATTCGAGTTTGATTGAGGCGACTGCTTGTATGTACTTTCAAATGGCCCCTGCTATTTACGTCTCCTTATCGGACTCGATTCCATATGGCACAAAGAGGTTCTTGGTGAAGTTGGTTGAAATTTGAGAACGCTCGACATCCTTTGGGAAAACAGAACTGGGCATGAAACAGTGCAAATCTTATGAGCCCGGTATGAACCTTAAGATGGCCATGATATCAGCAAGTGACTGGCCTTGGGAGGCGTAGGTTCGTTCATTGACATTGCCACACTGGCCTCTGCAGAACTGCTTTCTACACTCATCGCGGCTGGTGGCAATGACGGTGCCACTGCACTGCGCATTAGGTCATCCAAGCCAAGTAGGACCTGTGTTGCTACTGGAAGAGTATTAAGATCTGGTTAGATCAGGTCTGGTGATAATTAACAACTAGACTTCAAACATATGATAAGACAAGCGTGAATTTAAAGGGGCTTCAAGAATATCAAGCCGCTTCATAGCCTTCTACAAGATCTCCCGGGCATTCTGATGCATCTTTCCGACGGGAATATCGATTTGGCTGAATCGGAACCAGTTCGATACAAGCAGCAGGCCCGAGTTCCGTATATTCGGATTCATTAGGATAGATATCAAGACAAAGCATCGACTCTGCATAAGACAATACAGACAGTGTGATGCGGAACTTCGAGGGGCTTTGGAAACCAAAGAATCGCTGTTCGCCATCGGGTCTTTGGATCATAAACCTCTTGATGACGGTGCTGTGGTGAAGCAATTCTCTTCCGGGCAATATTGTTGTGAGATGTCGGTCGTCAAGTATGGCACATACTTGATCAGCTTCCCCTTACCGATTCAAGAGGTGGCATTGCTGCAATCGGATAGAACCTTCTGGAGTCATGTTTTCGGTGAACAGTGGTCGGTGGTATTTTGGTAGTATCGACTGGAGTCTAGAGTATCACTAACCTAATAATTTGCAGTGTTAGGTTATACCTTTCAATGACCTGCTGGTAATAACTTGCTGCTCACGAGTGAAGATAACTTTGGACGGAAGTCAAGACCATACTAATAAACATACCTTATATTATTCGTGCTAAACATAAACTCTCATTCGGAGTGCTTACGGCTAGCCACGTCGTCGTATTCAAGCTGCAGTTTACCCCTCAAGATGACGAAGATGTGTGTATCGAATGAATTCGAAAGTTATACAGGAAGCCTTCGATCACAGTGCCACTGCCCCACTTTCGACTCCTCCATCGTACGAAACAATAAGGATGTGTATCAAGTGAAGTTGGAGACGATGAGATCGTGATGTAGGAAAAAATTTCCAATCTGAGCACTTACAGCCAGTCATTCTCCGCTTTCTGGCCTCGGATCACCTTCTACTATGCAAGACGAAAACTGCGTGCATTTGTCCAGGTCAAACGATATTATCAATATCACTGGCATTAACTTCGGCCAGCTTTGAAAGATAGCTTGTGTCAAGATCAAATCTGCATCTCCACCGGCTACAACACAGCACGGCATAATGCATCAAGTGACCTGGGAGATTAACGTTATAAAGGATGAGATGTTCAATTAGAGTGGTTATAGCCAGCCACTTCTCTATTTTCGAGCTTCATATTGCCCATTACCTTGCTATCGAACTTCAAATCATTCTTCAACTATATAAGATGAGAACAATACGTACGCATTATACGAATTCGGAGAATTATGTTGTATAGGAGAATATGTCCGATTAGATGTGCTCACTGCTGACCGCCTGGCTAGCCCCTTCCCCGCTCTTGAACTTTCCCCTATAGAAAATGTGTGCATGAGTACCTAGAGGCTATCATTTACAGAAGAAGAAAAGCTGTGGAATGGAAGAAGATAATACCGGTACTATACAGTACCGTCTTGGCTCGAGTTAACTGAGATCGGATCCAGCTGTGTTTGGTCTAACTTGTCGATCAAGCCGGAAGATTAAACAGATCTTGGAAGAATCAGCAAAGTGGATTAGCTGGCAGGTTCCATATTTTTGTTTCAACGATAAAAATTAGGCTATATCTAGCTTAGCGTGATCGATAACTAGCTAGTTCAAACACGGCTGGACCCGTTCTGACTTTTCAGCTACTCCAGTTGAGTAACTTCAACTGGAGTTGGGATGCAGAAAACTCTAGATGTGGGATTGATGTGTTCGATGGCCAAGAGGAGAAGAACTCTACAAGCCGATCGGTGTGTGACGGAAGTCCAAATCTGCGAATGGGATTTGCATGGAATATAGATCTCGGTCACACGGGAAGAATCAGAACCAGAATCAGAATTTATGCTGTGCAGAAATAACCCGCAGCCCACAGATACCCATAGATAATTTATCTTATAAGTTATTTAGTAAAATTATTACTATCTGCCTTGTAGACTATCTATCAAGATCTCAAAATAACCCGCCCTATATATATTGTCCGCAAATAATCTCTAAGTATTTATATATATATAATATTAATATAACTTTATAATTCGTCTAAAGATTAATATAACATTATGATTAAAAAACTTACAGATTATTGAATGATTTATAAATAACTTCAAAATTAAAGCAAATCATTAATCAATATTTAAGAAAACAATCTATAAACAATCTGCAAATGGTTTACAAATATTTAGTATTCAGATTTTTCAATAACTACTTCATAGACAGGGTAACCTATAGATTACTTCATCAGATCACCAATCAGGGTACTAAGATAAAATCAAGAACATCCTAGGAAAATCGTGGCAAGAGAGCTAGAAACGTGGGAGCCCCACTATCATCTCAGCTCGTGTACCATCTCAGCTCGAATACTGAGAACGAGTCCAGCTGTGTTTGACCTAGCCGTCGATCAAAACCAGAAGGTCAAACAAATCATATACCAGTAATTGATTAGCTGGTGGTTCCACACTTCTCTTTGAGCGATGAGAATTAGGCTGTATCTAGCTTGGTGTGATCTCATCGATATCGACTAATGGGGTAGTCCAGATCGATAGTCAGGCCAAACAGAGCTGGACCTCTTCTTTTTCTTCTTATTATTTCATCTTCTCATTTCACAAATTCAATCTCTATTCGCTACAATCCTCGATTAAATGGACTCAAATGGACTTGAAAAGATTGTGGACATTCCCCTTTTTTCGTCCCTGCACAGCCCTAAAGATATGCAGCAGTCACGAGGCCGTTCGGTGTCCAGTTACAGGCAAATTACGGGTGTCTCACGAATTGGCTGGCCTGATTGGTAAAAATTAATTGAAGTACGCTTGAGGACCTCAAAAAGGGGTATCTGTTTGGTGGTATTCGGATTTTTGAAAATTAGTTATTATCAGTAATGAAATTTGTAACATCGAAATCTTGAAGTTTGGTTGTGAAAATAGTCTGTGATTTATATCCCTGTTCACAAGATTAATGTCTGAATAGCCTCATATCCTGTCAATTAAATATCCGATAAGTCAAAAGAAAAAGTGGATACAAATCTGACGATCATTTTGATCCACAAATGAGCTACAAATTTACTTGTAGCTGAACACTGAACGGGCTCTTAGCTTTCATCAAATTTGCTAATGTTATAAAATCCTGTTCCCGAAGCTCGAATGAGTCTTGACACTTTCTTGTATCATTCACCCGGCCATCAAGATGGATCAAGATAGTAGAGACAAAAATATCCCCCCGAACGACCCGAAAAACCCTCGATGGCTCCTTGATCTACATAATTGGAAGTTTGAACGATACATTGACATTGCCAGCACCGTTGAAACCGAAGGTTATGGCATCGTCTCTTATACTTGGGGTTATATCGCTGATTTCAGCAGACCGCAACCAGACCATGAATTGCCAATCGGTCTTCCTTGGGATGTGCCAACGACTACTGGATTCGATCTTGATCGAGCGAAGGAGGTTATGGCAACAATCGGCACTCGTTATATCTGGTGGGATTGGATGTGTGTGCCCCAGGAAACTCTAAATGGTCAGCGGACCATTACTTCTCACTTGAGAAATGCAAAGCGCGAGGAAATCGGAAAGCAACTGTCAGTTCGCTTGTTCCACGTCTCACTGAATTACAACTAAGTAATTCATTAGGAACATATATCGTGACGCCAAAAAGAGTATTGTGTGGCTCCATTCGACATATTGGAATTTGCAAACCCCATTGAAAACGCTACTTCTGGCTGGTTCAAAAGAAGGTGTTCCCCTACCAACCGACCCCGAGGCATATCTTGACGAGATTGTGCAATTGCTCGCTCGCATCCGCACTCGCGAGGAAGGAGAGCGGTGGCTAGTTTCGGGCTGGACGCTTCAGGAAGGCGTGTTGCTCCCTGAAACAGTCTTGGTTGACGGTGCAGGCAACACTCTCCAGGACGACACCTTCCAGCACAATGGAGGACGTGCTTCTGTAATTGACTTGACGGCCAGTACTACTGCACTCGCCATCGGGGTGGCCAAATCCTTCGTTTCGCAAGCCGATGGACAAGAACAACAGAACAAAGTCGGCAGACTGATTGATGAGTCACTTGAGATGGCAAACAAATTCCGTCAGACTCTTCGAATTATGGTTGCCTCTGGCCTCGTTGCGTACAGTAAAGCTTCTCCGCTGTATATACTTAATGGCAAGCGGAACCGTGAGTTTGGCATGGCGCAGGATTCTTGCTGGGCGTTGATTGGAGCGATGGAGCTTGAGGGCGTCCCCGTCAAATATGAACTTCCCATGGATGACATCAAGATGATATTTCTGACAGCTTTATTTGAAAAATATCAATGGACAATGCTCCTACTGCCCCAACCCTTATTTCCCGTATTCCGCGAGTGGTGGTGGACCGGTTTTCGATGGACTGACATTGTAGATGGCCTTATGATCCCAGTTGGACTGTTTGTGGATACACAAATAGGCTCCGGGTCTCAAAGTCAGCTGCCACGCGTGTCACTTGACAGCACGATGACTGTGATCGTTCAACCACCTAACCAAAGCCAGACATTCTGCGTGTTGAAGAATTTGGACATAAAATGGTATCTACATTACGTCCAGACCGAAACAGGAGTTGAGATCCGCTCCCTGGCGCCGAAGACAAACCCCACTCCGCATATTTCTGACGCGGTTTTCTTGAAGCTAGAGGATCTCGGCAAGAACGATAATGCGCCTAGTATATCTTCCGGGATGAGATGCGTCGCCATCATGGAGTTCTGGACACCACAGGATAACATTCCTGTTGGCGTTTTTGGTGGAATCGTGGATCTCTGGGCCGCAGATGGGAATGCAGTCGAGGTACCGAGCCTGAAGCTCTACCCGACGGCTCAGAACACTGACTCAGGGCCGACGAACACAAAATCTAGGTTTAGACATGAACGTGATGCCGCAGGTCAAGAATGTGGCCAGGAAGCTTTGCTAATTACTTTGAGGCAGAGTGGCCAACCAGTCAGCTAGCTAACAGCGACGTCTGTCAGCTATCAGCATAGGTCAATAAGCTAAAGCTTCAAAATATCATCAGCGAATCAGCTAAGCTTATCTGCTAAAGGATTCGAAATTTTATTGGTTTTGAAGTAAATTTGAGGCATTTTTGAGGATATTTTGGGGCTATTTTGAAAAAAAAAATGGTTTAAAAAGGAAGCTGATGAAAAGTGAAAAGGAGGGGAATATAGAAGGGAGGGGGGTAAGGAGTGGTATTGAGGAAGGGGAAAGAGAATGGAAGGAAGAGGAGGGGGAGAGAGGGAATAGAGGAAGAGAGAGTAGAAAGAAGAGGAAGAGGAAAGAGGGGAAGAATGAGGAAAGGGGAGGAAGAGAGGGAAAGTGGGGGAGGAGGAAGGGGAAGAGGTAGAGGAGGAGGATAGAGGAGGATAATAGAGAAGGGAGGGGGGTAGGGGGGTCAAGGCAAAGAGAGTAGAAGGAAGAGGAAGGGGAAAGAGGGGAAGGATGAGGAGAGGGGAAGGATGAGAAGAGGGGAGGAAGAGGAAGGGAGGGAGGAAGAAGAAGAGAGGGAGGAAGAGAGGGAAAGGGAGGAAGGGGAAAGAGGTAGAAGAGGAGGAGTATATTTCATTACTATAGAAAGATCACGTATTAATTGATCAGCAGCTGATCAGCGATGTCAGCGAGTCAGCTAGGAATCGATCGAGAGCTAGCTGACTGACTGACTGATTGGCCACTCTGCTTTGAGGTCTGATAGAAAAATTGTGATATTTAATTTCTTAATATTGATTTGAGAAGGAAATCCCTAGTTGCGCAAGATGAAGATAGAGGTGTGACTTCCATACCTTTACACTTACGGCATATGTCAGTGATGTTCTTCTTCGTGACATATGTATCTTTTTGATACCAGAGGACTAGATCCATTCAGAATTGGAAAAATGGTTTCTTACTCATGTCGCCAGAAAGTCCGCAACTCGGGAACTAAGGAAACTAGGCTACTCCCTTGTAGTTTACCAGTATATGGTACGTGCTGGTCTACCCGAGTTGCGGACTTTCTGGCGGCATGAGTAGTCCTTTGGTATAAGATAATCGTTGCAAGGACGGAGCTTTCTTGAAGTAATATCTGCCACAGCCGTTATTGTGAGTTATGGTGCGAGGAACAGTAAAAATTAAAAAGAATTGGACACCGGTACCTAATATAACGAAGTATTGCGTAGCATATTGGACGGGAATAGAGAAATGTAATGGCCACAATTCAAATAGCTTCAGTATAGCTAAGTTGGTGTGTAGACTGGAAGACATTTTTCGCTCTCTCTTCATCAAAAAAATCATATTGAAAACGGCAGGCAGTCCTAGGAGAGGAGCTCCACGCTAGTTCACGTGATCAATGCTGTTATTAGAACATGTTAAGGTTGCGTAAAATAGCGTCGAATCCCACCAAACTCAGCGGCCGACCACCTCAAACTTGAATAATCTTCTTATATTCGATCTTATTATATACAGTCATAGAATTCTTGCATCAGCTCTTCAATTTCATACTGAACCTCCTATATCTTACTTATCAAGTATTCAACTCCCATATCAAGCTTTTTACGTGCCTTGCAAAATCTTCGGTAAATCTGTCACGGTGTGCTACACCCTCTAGATGCTAAATAGTATGCTCGAGTATTGCCACTCGATACCGGTAGGTATTGTCTATCTGTACTATATCTATAACTATCCACCCATCTTCGATACAGATATCCAAGCTCTAGCTGCTACGACTATTTTCTCCGGACATGCCGAGGACATGCTCTGGCCTAGGGAGTTGATGAAAATTATTGATGCACTTATTATTAATCTTCAAATTTTTGGGGATAGTAGCTTTGAGTCAGATTTGGGGAGTGAGACTCACCTCTCTTGCATTACTAGTGTAACAAGCAAGATTTCATATCTAGTGTGCCACTCAAAGAGTCTTACAATGGCTGCGGTGAGCACCGTGACCAGTATTAAACGAAAGATTTCGATCGCTGCGGTCTCTCACTTGTATTCCGAGATTTGTTCGCTGGATTCGCAAGTTTGAGTGGGCAGTTTGTTATAGATGAAAAGGGTTTAAGGCACGTTCATTAGGTCTTGGTTACTTGGAAAGTGAGATGATAGTCTCGTTTTCTTGAAAGCGAAAATAATGGTGTTGGAAGAGGTCTTCCGAGGCCAGAATTGCTTTTCAGGTCCCAACACTGCTTACTCTTTTAACGGTTCGATACACCTTGAAGCAGAGGTATAGGAGTTTACTTCACTATTCTCCGCCTAACACTTCCAGCAATCTACCACAAATGAGTGAATAACCAAAACATTCACTTCCCACATCATCCATACCCCCTTATGACGAGATTCGAATTCACCTCGTCGAACTCCTTTCCGAGAATATTCCTAGCGAAGCACCCATATTCACTCCGAGATATTTAAATATTTGAGCATCCATGGTTTGTCTAATTATAAAGCTAAGAAGTCATGTTCTTGAACTAACTATCCACTCTATATAGCTCGATACATATCTAAGAGATGAATCTACTCAAGGAATAGCAAGACACCCAGCCCTTCGAATTACATTTCTCCCTCTCCCAAAAGACAAGAAGGATTAGGAGAGTGGAGTACATTCCAGTAACTAACTATTCACAGTGCTCTCTCTACCATGATATTATATCATACGCTCACTTGGCTATCCGAATATCTGTCCATCTACTCACTCGTAGAATAGTAATTCAGTTACAACAATAGATTAAACAAGCAAATATTACTTTGGTTTAGAAAATCGACATTACTCGTAAAGATGGTAATCCAAATCCAAACCATATGAACCTTACATCAACATAGTTTAATACAAACCCGCCACACTACAACACTACCATCATCCCATCCCCTCGCTTCTTCCATCAACCCCACCCCCAGGATTATCATCATCATCATCTAAATACTCTCATCACATTCATCACACTCATCACATTCATTCCCCAAAATACCCCATATAAAATATTACATATTGCTATTACCTTTATATAGCTACTTCTTTAAACTGCGAAACTGTTACGAGTAGTAAATAGTGCTGATTATCAAAACATATGAATGACCTACTGTTGAATAGAATTTAAACGTGATTTACAAATACACAACCTGATGAATGCCTATCTATACTACTCGAATGATATAAGATTACATCCATCTACATCTATCTCCAGATCCAAATTCAAATCCAAATCCAACTCAAAAGCAATCAACCCCACACAATAAATCACCCATGAACATAAACCGTGACCATAAACCGTGACCATTAAAAAAGTAACTTCACTTCACACATTCACATAATTTTACCTCAATTCAAATCATCCTCTAACCAACCAATGCATATCCCTACCCATATCCCACATCCCAATGCATATCTGCAGCACCAAGATCGAAAACTGTCATGGTCAATGATATCACGGTAGCTGTCACGGTACCACTCACCCGCCCACCAGCTAGCTACTTATAACCGTGACTCTCCACATTCTTTTCTTTTCACATTATTTAATTCAAATTCAAGGAGATTATACTGTATGAGATCCTGAAAGTTCCTTAGATCTTTATTATTCCTCATTACAAAAACCTGTGTCTATCCATCATCCATCAATGCCATCCAACCAACCCATCCATCTATATTAAAGTATCAAAGTATCAAATCCAGGAACAAATCATCAACCAAACTTAATCAAACCGTAAAAAAACCCGAAAAAAAACCATCCAAATAAATAAAAAAAGAAAACGAGAGAACAACTGAGAGAGCAAGAAAGAAATCATAATTAATAAAGACAAATAGTTCCCCTCCCCAAGCATTTGATTTTCTCTACTTTGAGTACGTTTTGCTTGTGTTGTATGCTATTAAGCATGTATAGATGAGGAATTCGTTTTCTATTCTTATCATTTTACAGTTTCCTTCCTTAAAACTGCGCTTTATTTATGTATGATACTACTAGCCGCCCCGTCTCGGAATCATAATAATGAAAACGCTTCTTGAGATTTTCCCATCCCCTCTCTCCCCTCATTCATTCTAATTCTCCAACACATCACATGCCTCAAGCCAACACCCCCTCTTCCTCTCCCTCACCCCAACACTTCCTAAAAACCCTCTCCCTATGCCTCACCAAATTCCCCCACCTCCCCATTCCCTCCCCTAACCTCATATCCCCCTCCCCCCACCCCAACCCCTCATCCCCCACCAACCACGTATACGCAAAAACACCCGCATCAAAAATCACAGGTCCCTCCCCCCCAAACCACTTCTCCTCCCCCAGCAATTGACTCAAAGCCTCCCACGCTCTCTCCGCCTCCCTATAGATCATATCCACATCCAGGACTTGCGCACTCTTCCGCAACTCTGATTCGGCTGCAGAACGCAGTTGGTGGGATGTATAGAGACGGACTAGCGGGGAGGAAGAAGTTGTATTTATGTAGAGGGTTGTGGCGATGGTGGTGAAATTTGAAGGGGTTAGATAGAGGGTGTGGAGCTGGTTCTTCGGTTAGTTTTGACGTTGTTTTGTTTTGTATGGGGAGGATGGAATAGGAAGAGAGAGAGATGTATGGAACATACCCAGGCATTTCGTATGTTATGATCGACTAAAGCTTGATAAGCTTCCAGTTTCCTACTCTTTGGTTCGTGGAGTTTCTTCCCTTGTTCCCTTGCATATTTCACCAATCCATTACTTGATATTGGTAAATAATCATCTTTATCTTGTGACCCATTGGATTTGATGCCTGGTAAGAGGAAAGGTAGAACGCCAGTAGGTGAAGCGTGATTATTCGAGGAGACGATTTTATGATCTACTCCTGCGAGTTTTAGGAATGTCTGCCAATGATCCCGTCAGCCTTGTCTCCTTCATTCGTCTGATGCTGCTTGCTCGGATTCCAGGGAAGTAAACAAACCTGCCATTTTAAACACCCCGGATTAAAACTCGGTCTATCCCCATCCACCCCCTCATCACCCTCTCTACAAAAGATATATAAACTAGGTAACCTAGCATATTTATCACCTCTACTGCCTTTTGCCCCAGTACTTCTTTGTGGTAATTCGTTTGGTGGATATGTGAGAACAGGTACTTTATCGAATAATTTCTTAATCGGTCTCGGTATACTAAATAAATCCTTTATGGCATTCGTTTGTCGAGTGAAATTGGATTGATTATATGAAGTTTCTTTCTGGGTCGTTGAACCATCTTTCTCATTCTTCATAGACGGAGAAGAAGATGTTGATTCGTTTGAAGGAGGAGACATTGGTATCTTTTCTTGCAAATCTTGAAAGGATTGATAAATATAATTTGGGGTTGCATTCGTAACAAATCCGTAACTAGGTAATTTCGGCGCGTCTTCCGAATTTTCTTTCTCTTTTAAATCTTCGATAGGTTAAGACCAAAATCATGATGAGGCTGTACTCTGGCCTCACTGCACAGGCATATTTTTTATTTTTGGATAGCCGCGACATTTTTCTTCAGGCGAAAAAGGGCCGAGGAACGGTGAGATAAGATAAGATAAGATAAGATATGATAAGATAAGATTAAGATAAGAGATAAGACACTTTTGCATTTCATTGCAGGTTTTGTTCCATAATGTTTTGTTCCATAATACCTGCAGTTGTTGAAAGTGGCTCTATTAATCGAAAGACGAATTTCGGGTAGTATATTTAGATTGAGGAATCAAAAGAAGTCGTTGGGGAAAGATATAGAAGTCGTATCATTATCTCTGTTATATGGCATGAGAATGATGATGATAACTGTGCCAGTATTGATCTTGGATGCATGAACCTACTAGGTATATAAAAGAACCCCTCGAATAAGATTATGGGTCTTGATTCAGGTACGATGCATGTAAGATGTTTTTTTTAAGCGTACAGCACATATATGTATGTAGATATCGTCAGATCGTCAGATCGTCAGATACAAAAACATGCAATACCGGTAGTAGTAGTACTCGATTAGTGAACCAGACATTTTTATAATTTCTGAGTACCGGTAATCAATAATCTCAATCACTCTCATTTAATACTCAAATATAGGTAATCCTCCCAGGCCGAATTCGAACCAACCTCAACTCAACCTCACAGACCAACCTTAAAGAATCAACAACCTCGGGTAAGGACTTAATTAAAAAGTAAAAGTGCATGAATCGTGTAATTAGATATTAGCGATGTGGGGGAGCGGTAATAAATGCTTGTAATTGCGGAGAAAATACAGCGTTAAGGCGGCTATCATGATTTTCTGTTATTTTAAGATATTGACCAATCAAAAGTTTGAAATTCTTTAATATTTTAGCCGATATAGTACCCTGAATATTATTATACTGTACTCGTGTGTACTCGAGTTACTACCGAAAACAAATCCTCATCTTGCCTTGTCCTTGTCCTTTAAATTCAATTCAATTCAATTTATTTAAATAAAGGAAAAAGGGACATCACTTGATTCAGACATTTAAACAATTCTTTCACAATATCAAACAAAGACCAGTGGCCTCAAATCATCATCATCATCCTCATCCTCACTCATCCTACCGACCGACCTCTTTAAGAACAACCCATCTTCCCACATCCATATCATCTTTCTCCAACAACAACAACAACAACAACAAGAGTTCTACAGTACTTGTACTAAACTAAATCACTTCCGCCTAGAGTATCGTCTATTCACGTTACCTTTATTTCTTGAAGGTTGTAACCAAAGCTAGCCCTTCTTCTTCTTCTTACCCCTCATCTCATTCTTTCAACTCACTTCAATTTGACTCAACTCAAGTCAATTCAACTCTACACTACACTACAACTTTGGATACCTTCTCTCAATTTCTCACTCTCATAATTTCTTTGTTACATTCCAATCTCCATCCTTTTCTCCTCCCGCATCGTCAATCACATCAAATAAATAATCTGCTGTCAAAAAACCCCCCCCCTTCGAAATCAATCATCCAAGTCCCGAAACGAGCCTGATCCGTCATATTCGATCAGTTATAAGTCTGGGGTTAAAGTTTAAAATACCAAACTCACAAATAACGCTTGAAAACCACCTAAAAAAAGATTTTGATCATTCGACCCGGGTCCAAACGTATTTTGGAACTACAGAAAAAACAACAAAACCGACCACTTACCCATACGTGGTCGATACTTATCTTGAAGATTTTTTCCTCTTCAACTTACAACTTACTACCTTCTCGCATCAACCTCAACCACCTCCAACAATCAACTTTACAAAATCCACAAACTTGAACACTCCCCATACAAAAACTGCAAAAATGAACGCCCACCATACATCTCCCGCCTTGCCCACAACCGCCATGTCAAATTCTTCCCAAACCCTCAACGCCTCCTCGAAACCCTCAACATCTTTCTCCACCACCTCCTCTAGCAGACCTTTTTCCGCCCCTCCAGCCCCCGCACAACAAGAACCACAACGCTCAACAAGTCAAGATGAAACCTCTCCTTTCTTAAAGGATCTCACTCTAGTAGCCGAGGCGGCCAAGAGGGCACAAATGGCTTGTTTGATGAGGGATCTGGATGACTGTGAAATGTAGGGTTTTAGAGAGAGTTATATAGGAGAAAAGTTGTGGTGTCGAGGAGCGTATAACACCATGTGTTATGGCTATTGCTCGAATCCATGGCATATCGCCAAGAAGATCGTACCATTTGCATGCCACACACGTACTTAATTTCCTGCATCTCGCTTCGATTCGAGCCAATTCGACAACCCCTTCATCTTCGCCACTCTCACAACTTTAATTTCACCTCATTCACCTAGCCTTGTCCTACTACTCATCAACGGCGAAACCACCAGTTTTAGACGGTATTGGATTATAAGGAATAAGGATATAACGGGGCGTCGGCGTATTTATTTGGATCAATCAATTGATCAATCAATCGATTTTGTTTATCTTTCCGTTTACATGTTATTTTTGGCATTTCAGCATCAATATCACAACCCGGAACGGATTTGTATGGTCCACATTTCCAAGAGGTGTTATCACATCACCCTTATACGGAGGGACTCCTGGTGAAGCACGAGGAGGGACTTGGGGAACAGAAGGATGGTATATCAGATACTGCTACCGTATCACACAAATTCCTCGAACAATAGCCTAGTTAGTACTTGATCGAGGGAAACTTTGCATTTCGTTTCCCGAGGCGCGAGGATATTATACCATGGTATAGTATAGTTTGGCTATAGCATACTATTATATACTTTACTCGAATATAAATAATCTTTCATCTTTCATCTTTAATTCATACTAATACTCCAAATTGCCAATACTTGCTCATTGAAACTCAATATCCCTAACCCTATCCCTAAACCAAAATCACCTCTAGCTATCCTATCCCATCTCATCTACAATATTAAATATTACTCGAGTACACCCTGCATCATACAAATACCCGCCACACTTCTATCTATCCCCATACCTATCCCTATTCCCCCATCTCTCTTACCTTACACTTCCATTTCTATCCCATCTCATCCCATCCCATTCCATCCCATCCACCCCATGCAAACTTCTCTAATCCATTTCCATTTCATTTCCATTTCCATTTCCATTTCTATTTCCATCCCTCCATCTCATTTCCATTTCCATCTCATCCTAGCTCTAGCTCTAGCTCTAGCTCTGACTCACGCTCACGCTTCATTCTTCATTCTCTATTATCACCTATTACCTATTACCTATTACCTATCACCATACCGGCTAGCCAACTACTCAAGTAGTATACGTTCATTCATTCATTCATTCATTCAATTAATCCAATATAGTATTCCATATTATATTGCTATTCATTAATCACATCGTGACTGACCTACTCCATCCCCCATCCCATCTTCCTTCCCTCCATTCCATTCCTTTCCCCATCCTACCATCCATCCATTCCTTGTTGTTGTATTTGTATTGGTCTCCCAATATACCCTAGCACTACTCAATTGAATAACTAAAAATCCACCGCACTCAATCATCATACCATACCATACAAAGTTGAGATAGTCTATGACTCAATCTCAATCCCCAGGCACTCTGCATTCCTTTTCCTGGCACCCCAGGGTTACTATACAAATACCCCCCCCTCCCCCCCCCGGAACACTCGACTGCCAAATTAGCCACTTCACACTCCACTTCCACCATCACGCTTCTTCGGTCTCGTGTAATCATCGATATTGACAAAAGCGCCCGGACCACCCGATTCCCTCAGATCTTCTAAGAGTACCGTGGTTTGTTGGTAGACTAGTTCGAGGGCTGCCGAGGATGATTTGCCAAGGGAGACTGTTGTTTGCGTAAGTAAACACATGACCACAAGAGAGAGAGAAAGAACCATTGATCATTCGAAACCGTATGGGAAAAATAAACTTACGAAGGATAGCAGAATTTAATTCCTCCGCCACTGTGATTCTTCCACTCGGATCCAAAAGATGCGAGACCGTCTTCTCATTGATAGGATCTTTATATGCAATCAACGAGAATGCATCTTCCAAAGCTTTGCTAACCTCTCGTCTTGGATCGTCCTTGAATTCTGCTTGAAGAACTTGTCCATATGACAACGTCTCTGAGAGTAAATTCTGATATTCAGTTTCAGGATCTACTTCACCATCCGTTTCCATTCTATCCCAATTGTTGGCTTGAGGTTGATGATCATCCAATTCCATATCATGATTTATGATATCATCGTACCAATCCCCGTTATGCGCCGTATTTTTTTTCGATTCGTTAGATGAGTTGGAGTTGTTATGCATTTCTGCCATTTGTCGAACCATTTCGATGAACTTGCGACATCTTAATCGAAAGTAAACATGTTCGTTGTCTTTGAGAACTTGAGGGTAATATGCGTTAGTATGTTTGAGGGCCTGGTCAATATCTCCTTCCAAAATTGCTGTACGTATTCCTGTATAACATCAGTATAAATGACCGTCATTCATCTGGAATACCTACGTTGCCTATGACCAGCATCTTCATCCTCCTTGATATCAAATCCTGGTATGATAACATCTGGGTCCATATTCAAAGCCTTCTTTTCAGAATGAACTTCATCCGCAAACGCTCTTGCCGTCTCGACATAGCCATCATGCGTGAGAAATTGTAAAACCTATGGGCAATCAGCTATGAAACGGTGAATATCGTCGAGAGTCCATCGTACCAAAGACTGAATCAGTTCCGTTTCACTTAAAGGTGGTGCAAGCTTTATGGAACTTGAGAAATGTTTAGCATTTGAATAAGTCACAAGATTGGATTCAAGTACCTCGTCGAAGCTATTTCATTTTTAATTTGCCTTTCTTCGCGCTGTATAAATTGTCAGCATAAGAGAAAATGGATCAAGGGTGGCATAAGCTATAATGAGGGGCTGTAGGTGGCTGAGACCTCTCTCGCCACAGCAGGCTCCTCTGCATCAGGTTGCATGGCATCTCCGACTGAGTTCTCTCTTGCCAATCCAGTTTGCCAGGAACCATCACGCTCCATAGCAGCATCACGCTCTATAGCAGCATCACGCTCTATAGCAGCATCACGCTCTATAGCAGCATTACGCTCTTCCACTCTGAAAAGAGCCATAGCTCTTTCGAAATTTATAGACATAAAGGAAACGTCGAAATATTTTCAACTGACCAGAATCATGCTATCGATGTCAAAGACGAATGGACTTTGCCCGAAATTTACTCTAATATGCTCGCCCGGTTTCTTCATGCCAACGGAGGGAAAGAGCTTCCCCTTTCCTTTAATATCTCGGAAGGCGGTACCTTGAACAATAATGTTAACATATGTCACAGTGAATTGAACATAACTAGTTTGATGGCATAGAACCCAACAGTAGCATATGAAAGGAGTAAGAAATACTAACCTAAACGATCTCCATTCTTTGTAAAGAATGCCGAACCGTTTGTGAAGTTTATTCCACATCCTATTGTATCATCCGTAGTAAAGGATGGTCCGTAATGTTTCCCAGAATTTGCACCACCATATCCATTACCATCATCACCATGATATGCCCAAGAATCAGGTTCCCATCCCGGCAATCTTGATAGAAGTACTTGTTTAGTGGAAAAACCAATACCGATAGAGCTACTATAGAGATTATTAGAAAATCTTCAGATACACAACTCTGGTAAATAACATACTCCTCTCGCTTTCGTGACAAAATCGTCACCTCGAAGTAATAAATTCCACATTGGGGGGGCATAGGATGATCGGATCTAACGGCGCATGCTTCAATATCTCGATGATCACTTATAGATTTGGGACCTGTCAGCTTGACCTCTAACCCATCATTCATGATTTCCAATGCTCCAAATTTGTCATTTATACTCCATTTGCTTGGTAATGGTGGTAAGGTTTCGTCTTCGATAAGGGGGGATTTTTCGATAAGATCATAAGGTCTACCTCGATGCGAAGGGACCATCTTTGCGTGTAGATTGATACTGCTAGCACTAGTCGAAAGAGAATTTGGTTGTGATGATGGAGCCGACCCATCTCTATGCGCCAGGACTTTTGCCTTGTGCGCCTCCTCTAGCTTTTGCACATATTTCGATCTCTTCAGATACGAGGGCACAAAGAAATGTTCTGCGTGCCCACCGAGTCCACCGTAACCATGCCCATTTGCAAGTGAACCAAAAGCACTTGAGAAGCTTGGTAGTTGTCCTCCTCTACCCCACGAACCTGATCGTTGATGATTGACCCCGCCATTGCTATTCTCCTCGTCAAATCCGATGAAACCGGCATATCCGTATCGTCCAGTGGAATAGTTATAGCTTGGATCGTAGTAGATGGAATCGTGTTGTTGATTTAACATGTGGGTATTCGAGTTTAGGATATTTGAGAAAGCGCCGGATCTTGACGGTTGAAATTGTTGAGAATGACCAGCAGCTATGCCAGATACAACTGAGGCATATGAAGACCTTCGTGGCACAAAACTGGGAGCTCCAGTAGGCATACCAGAGTCTGGAATCCCCGGTGAACCCGAAGGATATGAGTTTGTCATGTCGAGATGGATGATGGGCAAATAGTAATAAGAGATTCGTTGTCGCTGTTGAATATTGAGAAATTGATAGAGGTATGAGTATTGAAGTTGCTTGATTTGATTTGGTTTGATTTGATTTGATTTAATTTGTTCCTGAGGTTGGTTTGGTGTAGAATTCGTATTTATTGCTTACAGCTCTCACTCTCAGTTCAGTAGTAAAGTAGTGAATGACGAACTAAATTAAGATGTGGAGACGAAGTGTGGTTGTGAATTGTGATGGTGATGTTCCGGTAGATAAATTGTTTCATGTATATATCGAATACATATTATGATATTTGTGAATGTTTATTGATATTGAGTTACCGTACTACAATAATCTGATCTCTGATCATAATGGGTTTAAGTTCAAGGTTCCTGAAGGTAGGTTACCATATGCGGATTTCATCATACGTGAGCTAATCCCATTGTGGTGCGATCCCCGATAACCGCGGGTTGTGAATGGGGGAGAACCGTCACAAGGAGAAGCACGAGATATCATATCTAACTAATAAATACTTGAGGTAAACCATCTATCTATCTCATCAACCTCAAAAGTTAACATACTCTATAAAATACCCAATTCCCATATCATGAGAAGAACTAGATATCAGACCAAAGTCACTAAACACACAAGTACCGATACTCGAGTTACATACCTAGTAGATACTACAATCACATCCCCAATCACATCCCCATCCCCATCCCCAACCACAACCCCAATAACATCATAGCTATACCTATTACTAGTATACATATACGAGCATCAGCAAATCACAGATAGATATACAAAGTCAAAGAGTAAAATAATATTCTGAATGTTTCCCCATGTTCTCGAATATTATTACTCGAGTAGATAGAATAGGAATATTATATCCGAGTAAGCGATGATTTATTATTTATTGTATAAGGGGCAATTTTATACTGACGATGATGATGACACGACCGACTGATGCAATATTTGATGGGCTTAATGAATAATAGTAGGCCCAAAGCCTGATCGATGAAGGAGTCGTTGGCGAATTCATTTATTTATCTATCAGTAGATGGCCTGTCACAATGTCTTTAGATATCATTTGTGTTTATTTGGTATTGTGCTGCACTGCGTTTTGAGTAAATTTTAGCAGTGGGTAAGTACGGTTGAGGCAGCATTCGAACAGGGAAATAAATGTCAAGGAAAGAAAAGTAGATATCGGCCTTATTGAACTCGGTCAGATGATAAAGTCTAGAAAGAAGTCTTGATCTTGAATATTGATGCAATAATACATGAGCCCCATGAGCCGCAATATGCTACATTGGCCTTCTCCCCCCTCTTCGGGGAAACGCCAAAAATAACATTGCCCCAAGCGGCATTTGATTCCATCCTGTCCCATTCCGTCCGCAACTCCTCGTATAATTTTCCCAATTCCACCCCATTGAAGCAAAGAAAGTCTTATACATTGTACTGCTGTAGTGATGAAGTAGTAGGTCTCTTCTGTAAACCGATTCCATGAAGATATTGCCCATTAAAGAGAAAAGAGAAGTTCGCCGGGTAGAATCCGACTTCTAAACCAAGGTGTGAAAGATAGGAAGACATTAAACGGTTGCAGTGACGACCGAAGGTTGAGGCTCAGGCTCAGGCTGGGCTTGAGCTTGAGCTTGAGCTTGAGCTTGAGTTTGAGGTACGGGAGAGCTGGCGAGGTTGGTATTATGATCAATATTCATGGCGCTATTGCTCTTCTCGCTTTCAATTTGGCTGTTGTCTTTGTTCTCCTTACTGCTATCACTGGTTTGCGAACCCTCGGTACTGTGATTGATGATGATTTTGGGGGGGCCCTCCATCTAGGTATTTCGATAGGGATGCCTGTAAATGTCTTAATAACGAAGGGGCGCTTCTCCCATTTGCGACAAGGTTTGCCAGAACGATCGAGTGCACGTAACCCAGCGTTGATTGCACCCTGATTGGCCTTGGGTCCAAGCTTGTGAGATGTGCCATTTGCATTCGGTGCTCTTGGAGTGTTGGTTATAGGATCGATTGTGCCATCATCCCTAAGTTTATGTTAGCCAATGTAATCGACGATGATTGCAGATATCCTGGGTATTTCCCACGAATAGAGCCACAAGGCTGACCGGGAAGAGATATAGCATTGGAGCTCCATGGCTGAGAAGGACTGGAATAAACTTACAATCTTGCCTTCTTCTTTGGACCTGGCTTGCCTCTAACTCTGGGAGTTGTGTCTGACCCTAAGGCGGCAGAACTTCTCTTGACACCACTTTTCTTCTTGATTGCTTCTGTTGGAGGAGGCATCGATGATGGAACTGGTGTAGCAGTACTGTTTGGCGCAGGTGTATTTGGGATTGGCTCGGCTGGAGGATCACCATTTTGACTCGTTGCGATAGGTATAGTACTTGGAATTGTTGATGTAGATTTCTTTGATGAAGCGTCTTCTTTGATCAAAGTTTTACCAATGCCCCTTAACTTCTCCGGGGACAACTTGAGAGTGACGATCAAAGTCTTCTTCTCTTTCGGACCCGACGACTTTCGTCGTGGAGCAGAGGTAGCCGGCGTAGATTTGCTTGCTGAAGCCATCGTGATGATGTCGTTGAAGTTTTGAGACGTGAAAGTATGAAAGGTTTTCAAATCGTCGGTCGCAAAAATTAGGGTTGAGAGTTATTAGGAATGGTAGATTGTTTTCTCAATCAATAGTAAGGTATCGGTGATGGGTTGATTTGGGGGGTGGTCAAAAGATGATGGTATTCAACATGATTCAAAATTATGTTCTTTCGAAGTGAACGAAAAGTATGTTGCAAAGAAAGTGATGGGGGCAAGGAGAAATATGAAAGCCATTTTAATTACATGCGTTGAGAGGCTGAGGAAAATAAATAATATGTTGGTGTCTTTCACTCGCTAGATCTATAAATCAGTTAGTTGAAGATTTGATTATCTTATTATTAGCTAGTACCGGTAGATACGAAAGTAGTAGAGCGGAAGGTTTTCCTCTTTCTTTCTTTTTTTTTTGTATACAACAACAACAAAAAGTCGGAAAACAGCAATTTGATTTGCATTTTATAAGGATGATAATACTACAACAGTATAAATCCTTTTCTTCTTCTGTATATTGATTGTTTTTATGGTTCCATCATTCCATCTCTCTCTCTCTCTCTTTGTGTTACATCGAGATTCGAGATGATTTTTAAGTTTTCCGTACAACCCGAAACCAAGAATGATTCGGAATACTTACCTAGGTCAACTCTTAACCCAGCCAGAATAGCAAACACGAAGGATGGTATTGCTGATATTGCTGATATTGCTGGTATCGCTTGATACTTTCATGAACAGTTGGCTGCATATTCAGCTCAAAACATCATCAAAGTACAATTATGGTTATAGGTTTTGAATGTGTCAAATAGTTTTGACAACAATGAACCTATGGCATTTTCGAGAGACATCCACGACTTGCATAGCTACCTATAGGTGGGTAGTGTTACACATCAGATCAATTTCGAGTTGGACAGCATTTATAGGCAGATTTTGGCATGTCGCTTCGTTGCTTTATTGCGTACTGTCTCTCTTCATCTGAGTGAGTAGGCAGACCTTGATCTGCTGATCGAATCTTGGAACAAACAAATTCCCATCATCATGATGTCTTCATTGATAAAGCTGGATCAATTACGAGTATATAAAAACCATATTTAGGAACGTTCTGTGTTATCTATATCTAATAATCGAGTCATGTTGCGATATAATATTAAAAGAGTTTCTACCTTAAGATGATGACGAAGTCTCAGCAAGAATACCTCATGCTAATTGGATAAATCGAAGTGAAGCACGTGCGGATTCTTTAGCCACAAAGCGGAGAATCCGCCACAATCGCAAGTGGGGTGACGACAGCTTCTAGAATCTACAGTAATTACCAGTATCCATCCCTTCATCCCTAATAAACATTCCCCAAGCTCTTAACCACATTTCCACAACCTCCCTATCTACTTTACACTTGATCTTCGTAATGCTTCCTCCTGATACTGGCAACGATATTGTCAATATGTCTACACCGACAAAACCCTCAGAGAGCCTTGTATGTTCATGCATTATTTGATTCCACAACTTTATGCTCTACTATGACATAGATTATGAAATAATTAATTTCTAACTTACCTCCTTTTCCTAGAATAGAAGTTCTCCTCCAGAATCGCCAACTACTGTAGCGCCATTTGATATGGACGATGATGATGTACAAGATGGTACTACCGGTGGTGATGTACCGGCATCAAATAAGACCGCAGATGAGCTACCTCCGCAAAAGCCTCCGCGCCCCATGAGCCCACAACAGCAAGCAGAGAACACTTTGAAAGAGGCTTTCCCAAGTATCGATGCAGCGGTAGTCAAAGCAGTTTTGATTGCTAGTGGTGGCCGTGTTGAGCCTGCTTTCAATGCTCTCCTAGGTAAGCTTGTAATCCTGTCGCATCAAATTACAATCCTAATGTTGGCTATGGATAGGCATGTCAGATCCAGATGCCGCCATCGAAGTTCCACCTCCTCAACCCCCTCGTCCACAAGCGCAACCAGTCGGCTCTACTCCACGATCACAACTCGAATCAGACGAACAATATGCACGCCAGCTTGCCGAGCACTTCGAAGGGACATCATCATATGGATCGCATGGACCTCGAGGCGGTTCCAGAGGTGGAAATCTCCCAGATAGAAAACAGACTGGCTTGAAACCAAACGAAATGTATGGTGAAGAGGACGAGCATAGTTTTCTCGATGATGATCTCCCAGTTATCAAAGAAAACCTCAGAAAGGGCTTCCTCGAGACACAGAGTAAAGTTAATGGTTGGATCACCAATTTGAAGAAGAAACTCGATGGAGAGGACACAGAGGAGGGACCTTCTACACAAGGATCTTCTACACAAGGTTATAATTCTAATCAGCACACACAATATCGTCCTAGAAGAAGTGGAGAAGGCAGACAGAGTGGAGACTACAATCGATATGATGCCGATCCACAAGTTCTGGGTGATGATTTTGCTGGAATGCAGCTGAACGAGGATGGTAGTAGACATGACGGTAATGGTTCTCGCGCAAGTCATTCTGCAAATGCTTACCTATCATCTACCCCTCCAGCTCGTCGTTCTACTCGGCCACTCGCAAACCCCGATCTTTTCAAACCAAATCCTGTAATTCCAAAAGCTGAAGGTCGGAAGGTATCATTTCAAAGTGCTACAGTGGAGGATGATCTATACCGTACTTCACCAAAACTTGGCGGAAAAGAAAACACTCCATCTACTAAGCAGAGTAAATGGCAGCCATTAAATGCGATGGAGCCCAGCCCAATTGGTGACGCTGATAATGATCATGATCCATTCAGTCTTGGAGATAGCGAGGACGAAAAGGAATCTAAAGATCGAGTTGGAGGCAAAGAAATTCGTATGGATGATGCAGAGAGGCTCAAAAAGGCAGCAGCGGAAGCAATGTCCGAAGATATTGGTGAACCCGTAAAAAAACCTGAGCCAGCTAAAACATCTGGCACGAAGGATAAATTAGCAGAGGAGCTGGCTAGCAAACCTTGAGTGTTGTCGAATGCATTTAATTCCAGTTTTGGTTCACCCATCAGACAGAGAAGCGCTGGATAATTTTGGTTGTACTTTTCATGATATCCAAAATATTTCTACTATGAAGTTTGAAATCAGACATACCATGGCTTGCCAAGAGCTAATACATGAGAGGATGAGTCGTTTATTTCATCGAGGTCTGGATTCATGACCCTAGTAAATCAACTTTGATTCTTTGATTGTATGTACCATACCGTATGTAGTATCTCTCAAGTTTTCATAGCCACCAACATACTCCATTTGGCAACAAGGGCATCAATTCTTAGACGGACGAATATTAGTATTTTACCTAAGCGGTTTCCACCTCCCACCCCTTCCACCCCTCACAACATATGTTTTGATCTTGAATGTCATGATAATAGGCGACCCATGTCCACAATGACTTGTAAGCTTCTCTTCTTCAAAAATCCCGACGGATCCAATTCCATGTCTGAACATACATTCATCAATCCCCCACCTTTATCAACGGCTCAGCCTTGTTAGCCTTGTCCTTTCACTTTAGCACGTGGGGTAATGATTTGCTAGGAAATAGCTATGAAATTATACGGAGACGACTTGTGCTACCTCTATGGTTCTCACAAGCAAGCCAACAAGCAAGCAGGCAGGCAAATAGAAGTTGGTAGAAGCGACAACAATCAATTTGCCGATATTACCTATTCATATTGAACTTGAATCCTTCTCCCTCTTCTCAATGATTATCAAATCTTTGAAACTCGAGACATAGTACGTACAGTACAACCTAGGTAAAGCAGCTACAAGCATTCTTTTTTAGCTGTACGGAGGTGGTACGATCGATTGCCCCTCACTAGTCCCTTTCTAGCCAAAGCTCTCTGTTCGAGAGCGAACCACGAAAAAAAAAACCGTCGAGAGTTGAACATCATCTGTTTTCTATTTATTCAAACTCAAAGAGTATTTTTCATTACACTCGAGTATTGGTACCTAGACTCACAGTACTTGGGATCTTTCTTTCACTACTTCATTTCTTCACCACTAGGATCTCTTTCCTTCCCATCCGCCGGTCAACTTCTAATCTCGTATCAAGGTAGTATAATACTACGATACAGTCAGTGAACGTTCGGAACACCACAGCTTCGTGCAGGTCCACGTGTATCACACAACTTCCAGTTCTGATCGTCTTCATACCTAAATTACAGACATATTTTGACACTTCTTCATACCTCTCTCGACGTCATCTCCTGTTAGCTTATGAACGTAGCATTTTGCATGATCTAAAGTCATGATTTGCATGTGATCTGATAGATCCACCACCTGCAAGCCCTCATCCAGAAATATTTCACCATTTCTATCCGTCAATTCTGTTGTTTACTGCCCCAGGACTTTGAGACTGCAAGCAGTCTATCATGTACGTCTCACCCCAACTTCGAGCTATTTCACCGTCTCTTGAAGATATAACCACTAAACTTTCCTTGCATAGGAAGTTTGGAAAGCAAATCCAGAAAAGGCAGCTCGAAGTGCCCGAGTATGCAGCTAGTTTCGTCAATTATAAAGCTCTAAAGAAGGTTCGTCTCAGCTACTCGTCAATCTGCCACACAATGGACAACAAGCTTCAAGCTTCAAGCTTGAATCTCGCAGGCAGCCTGATGAAGAAGCATGACTATTTTACTAACTCTACAATAGCTCATCAAAAAGCTTTCTGCTACACCTATAATTCTCGCGCAAAATGATCTTCATCGTTCAGCACCGGTCCTCGATTCCCAGGCCGCATTACAAGCTAATAAGGCCACCTTCTTCTTCCAACTGGTGTGTTGTTCTTGATCTCTTTCGTAAGCATGAAGTGTACTAAACATACAATAGGAACGAGAACTTGAGAAGGTCAATGCCTTCTATCTTCAGAAGGAAGCCGAGGTATGTTATTCGCCATAAGTCGGTCCAAAAAGCACCTGCTCATTGAAAACAGCTTAAAATTCGGCTGAAGACTTTACTAGACAAGAAGAAGGTCCTCCAATCACGTAGCCAAAACACTTCAACACGATCTGCGAAGTTTACCACATTAGAAGAAGGCTTTCAACAATTTGGCAATGACTTGAATAAGCTTCAACAATTTGTCGAGATAAATGGTATGGCATTTTCCAAGATCCTAAAGAAATGGGACAAAACTTCCAAGTCGAAAACGAAGGAGCTATATCTTTCGAGGGCAGTTGAGGTGCAACCATTTTTCGATGCAACTGCTATCAGTGAATTATCCGACCAGGCCACTGTGAGCTTACAGGAGCTTGGAGCTTGGTCCGAAGGCGATAATGTCAGCTTCGAAAGAAGTCAAGAACATATCGTGAGTAGTCAACACTTACTAGGTACCGATGAAGGTGACGCCGATACATTATTATTGGAAGCCGTCATTTCTGGAAACCTTGACCCTTTGAAAGATCTACTTCAACGTATGAAGATCGCACCAGATCTCAATGGTAATCGGGATGTAGCATTGATGGAAAGAATCACTCGAACATTTCTTGCTGCCATTAATGAAAGCCCCAAACAGTCATTAAACTTACTGTTAGATACTGGCATGGTCGATGTACAGTCCGAAGATGATATTAATGAGCGCAATTGCCTTCATCAAGCTACGATTTACGGCAACACTTTTGTATTGGCCGTCGGACTTTCCAAGGGGGTAACTGTTAGCCGAACTGATGTATATGGGCGGGTACCATTACATTATGCGTGTATGCATGGTCGACTTGATATGATGGAGGAGTTGCTGAATGGTATGTTTCTTCTATGACCTCCTTCATTTCGTTGATACTAACGAGCTTCATTACTTCAGCGGATCATTCTACAATTGATCTGATAGACCACGACAACTTCACTCCTCTTATCCATGCGATTATTCACGGCCATATAGAATGTGCTCGGAGGTTACTTGCGCGGTCTGCCAGAATTGACCCAATATCCGATGCAGACCATGTCCCTCTAAATCTGGCTTGCGAGCATGGCTCCATTGCAATCGTTGAACTTCTTCTTCAACACGGCGCGAACATTCTTCCAGATGCTGAAGGTCTATATCCTCAACATCTCGTTGCACGATCTGGTCAGACGCCACAATTACTTCTCTTGTTGAAGAGCTATGGCGCAGATCTCAACCAAATCGACAAACTTTACTCATGGACACCACTCTTTCACGCAGCTAGTGAAGGAAATGTCCCATGTATGCAAACATTACTGGATGTTGGAGTTGAGACCCATGTTCGAGATGAAAAAGATCTTTCCGCTATGTATTATGCGGCATGGGAAGGATATCTAGAGTGTATGAGACTATTATCCTCTATTTCGCAGTCATCCAGAGGTGGAAAGGCGATTTCAGTTCCAATTCTTGGGCCCACGATGGGAAGCAGTTCTCCTATGCCAATGAGCATTGATGCTGATGGTATCCCTGATTTGGAATTACCACCTCCTATTATTCCATTACGACGATATGGTCATAATTTCCTTGATACGAAGACTTTCATACAAATCAGTTTTGTGGAAGAAAATGGGGAGCAACCGATGATCTTTTTCCATGACAGCAAATATCCGGCAGCGCGTCTCACAATTTCCTCCAAACTTTCGGATTTGATACCCAAGAATATTTTACTCCCATTTCAGGAAGATACCCGGCTTGTTTCATTTCAGATTGATAATTTAGATTCTTTTGCCATCGATTTTGATGTCTTTCCCACATATGGGGCTAAAGTCATCGCAAAGACTGTCGCTTTACCCAGTACTTTTCGAGCATTGGAAAGCAGTTCCGGCCGTTGTTGTTTGCCCCTATTCGACCCACGCTTAAGAGCTATAGGACAGATTACCTTCAATTTCCAAGTTATCAAACCATTTCAAGGCAAGCCACTGGAAATTACGGATTTCGAGACTTATTGGAAAGCTACGAGTCAATTCGACTCAAGACCAAGTGCTTTTATCACTGGATCCAGTCTGTCTGGAGACTACATTCAACTTTTCGTCCAACATACTTGTGATGGGGTTCCAGTTCTCTGGCCATATTGGAACATTACCTATAACGATATCGAATTTCCAGTTTGTCGTCTAACTTACTCCCAATTTATAAGTGCAGGATCAACTCAGGGTAGATTAACCAAGGACCTACTTGCTCTACCTGAAATGCCATTGGAAAACATCACCGAGATTCATGCTATACTCGCGACGTCGGCTGTGTCACTCGAAGATGCCCTTTCTTTGCTCCCCAAAGGCATGCATGCCAACATCCAAATATTATACCCGACCTTGGATGAAGAGAAGCACATGCAATTGAGCCCCATAGTAAACATCAACACGTTTGGTGACGCCATTCTTGCGATGGTTTTTGATCACGCAAGAAAACTCCGAAAACATTCCCCGAATTCTATGAGATCGATCATTTTTAGTTCATACAACCATACCATCTGCACAACTCTCAACTGGAAACAACCCAATTATCCCGTTTTCTTATGCAATGATCTGGGCCGTGAAGAGAAAGCAGGTCAACAAGTAGGACTGGAGGTTAGTGGAAAGAGAACTACCTCTATCAAGGAGTCGGTCAGGATTGCGAAGAATAATAATTTCATGGGATTGATTTGTTGTTCTAGACTTTTGGTAAGTTATTCTGATGACAAGATCCCATCCTTTTCTTTTCTTTCTCAAGACCCAGTATGAAATAACTAACCTATAACAGGATATGGTACCAGCATTAATTGAAGCAATCAAATCACAAGGACTCGTCTTAGTTATTGACAAATCTGCAGAGCCGGTAGACGAGAAGAGATCGTATAATGATCCACTCCCGAGATTACCGGATGGGGTTGATGGAGTCTTGAAGACAAATGGTATACTGAGATTCAATGAAAGTATTGATATGTAGATAGCTGGGTACATTAACTTAGATAATCAGGTTGCTGGGGTTTTACGCGAGGGAGTTACATAGTTCTGATAACAATAATTCCAAACACAAGTACAAGAATTGAGAAGCCATTTTTGGTAGATGGTGGTAATGTTTGATGTGTGTTTCCATGGTACTCAAGAGTACGTATCGTAAACATGTATCCACTCCGCACCACGAACTCCATATACTCGAGTACATATCTAAGAAGTTCCTAAAGACCGCGACCCTAGCCTCTCATTTATCTCAACTTCATCTCAATATCCCAACTTCATCTTATCTCAAGCAGATCCTACCCATTCAATCACGCATTCACCCCACTCGCTTACTCACTCATTCATTCACTCACTCATTAACTTATCCATTCACTCACTCACTCATACACTCATTCACTCATACATTTAAACTCCTCTTACTTTATCTTCCCTTCCCTTCTCTTTTCTTCTCTTCCCTTCTCCTCTCATCTCTTCTCGCCCGAAACATAGAAACATAGACATATATCTTGCGCCGATTATCCATTCAGTCTTTATTTCACCTAGACCTAATCCTAAACCAACCTAGACCAGGACTCAAAGCCTAAGCCAAAGCCTAAGCCTAAGCCTAAACGTAAACCTAAACCTAAACCTAGACTCCACTTCCACTTCCATTCCACTTATAATTTTCTCTCCTCCAAACCTACTGTAGATACTAGTACTTCAAGGATAATATCTGTATTGTAATTATGTACTTATACTCATACTCATACTCGTATTTGTATTTATACAATAAATAAAGTAAGTAGTAAGTAAGTATTCAGTATCCCCAACAAGAAAACACAAACACAAATGTGAAATAGATGTGGTGGAAAGTTATATGAGTAGAATTAGTGGATAGATAGATAGGTACGACGAGTTTTCGAAATGAGAAACGCCGGTGAAATGAGAGGTTTGTGATATCCCTAGGATACTATCTCCTTGCGCTTCTCCATTATCCAGCTTATTCACTGATTCGTTGATCAAGAAGCTCACAGATTCGCACGCTGGATGAGATGAGATGAGATGAGACGGCGAGAATGAATTTGATGGAATAAGATGAGATGAGATGGGATGGGATGATACAATATCGAATATTCATCTCCGAAGTCCACGTTCTGGAGTATTCGTCTGATTGTTTCAGAATGCTATTGTAGCTATACAATATTTTGATATCTCAATGAAGAATCGAGTAGGGGTGGGAATGGCAACAGTTCCAGAGTTAGATTTCCAAGAACTTTCATACAGAAATCTCAGAAAATTGTTGTAGACATGCAACAAGAGATATTTGGCGGGAAAAGAGATGAGATGATAGTATCAAATGCTCAGATTTGATATAAATATTCAGAGGGACTCGTTCAAAGTTTTGAGATTGTTATTGTAGATGATATGTGGCACTCCTAAACTCAAGCCCCCTTATATCCGTACTTTAAACTCCCCAATTCCTCTTCTGGATTGACACTCCCCATGACTGTTTTTGCAAGGAGCACCACTGCGTAGATTCCCAGAGGTAACCATTCGAATCCGGTCCACCATATATTTATATCTGCGTCTGCAATTCTGGCGCGGGATTTAGATTTGAGAATGGTTCCTAGAATACCGAGGATGAGACTGAGGAGGAGATTGAGGGTCGGGAGGTAGGTTAAGAGGGGTCCATTGTCTACTCCGTTAACTCCCAGTACTCCTATTTTTGACCCATGGGAAGACTTGGATGGTCGATTGAAATTGTCGAGAATGGAAATAGATGTTTCCTCTGGAGGTAATGAGTAGATGAGGAAAGCGGTGGAGAGGAGCGAGGTAATGGATAGGATACTGAGAAGAGAGGTGGTGGGGGAAAAGAGTGTGAGGTAGGGGATGGTGCTTATGAGGGGAAGGCAGAGGAGAAATCGGGCGTAGAGGGTATTGTATTTTGTGTGGAGGGTGGTGAGGTGTTGGATTAAATTATCTTGTTCTAAAACGAGAGGGGGTTAGTATTGGTTTAAAGGATGAGGTGGATGGCGGGGTTCAAGCATACCTTCTTCATCAAGAGCTTCAGGTAACGAGTCATCGGAGTCGTTATCTGTGGGATAGCGAAAGGTCTTACGTAGACGAGAGGTAGTTTGTTCCATATTCGTAAATGTTTATAAGATAGATTTGCCGTTCACAAATCCTACACAGAAATAAATTGTACGAACTTATTAGAAACGAAGCTGGCAGCTCGAGCTCGAGCCTTGCACATGGTTGTCAGCCTCGCATTTGCGCCACAACTCAGCGGGTCATGATCGAATCGAAGGAACGGATCAAGAAGAAGCTCCCCTCCATTCCACAATCTTTGTTTGTAATTGACAAAGTCAACGCCATAAATCATACACAAAATGTTACCACGATTACTTCGAAGCTCGAGGGTATTCCCTAGATTGAGGGTCAACAATTTAAACAATGCGAGGAATTTGATACAGAGGAGAACGTTGATTGCGGCGCCCAAAGCTGGGGGCGGTCCGTTGATGGAAAGAAGAGGGGATCGGGAATTACCTGGTAACATTTCCCTCCCTGGCGTGAACACGAACACGAATGGTGGAGAAATGATCAAGATATGTACTAATTAAAGTCCAGAGCCCGATAGTGGCATGCGCTGGATTGCCTCCGTCCCCATTTTCCTCGTCGTTCTCATATCCAGCACTCTCGCCATCTTCAACTATCAAAAATCGTCATCCTCTGTCGTATCCTCTACACTCTACGCCCTACGCACATCACCCAAAGCGCGCGAGTTCTTGGGAGATGAAATATATTTTGCGAGCAAGATGCCGTGGATTTGGGGCGAGATGAATCAATTGCATGGCAGGATTGATATACAGTTTGAGGTCAAAGGGACGAAGAGGACCGGGACAATGAGGTTTACGAGTACTAGGGCGACGAGACAGGGGATGTTTGAGACGACAGAGTGGAGCTTGGAGGGTGGGGAGGCGGAGGAGAAGGTGAGGGTTGATCTTTTGGATGGAGAGGATCCGTTCAAGGGGATTGAGGATGTGGAGGAGAGGTCGGCAGAACCTGGGAGGGGTAGTTATGCACCGACTTTGTCGGGGTAGAGGGTTAGATGATGGAGTGGTGCATGGGTAGGTATGGGTGGGTATGGGAGAGTAAATGGATATTGGGAAGTGAGGTGGAGGAACTATGTGCGCAAGTAGCGGAACTATGGTTAGTACGAGTTGGTTTTGAGAATGGCGATGGAAAATTATCGGTCATAGGCCAAGTGTAAGTATAAGCACATGTTGTTTTGGCAAGATCATGATAGTAGACTTGAGGGCTGGATGGAAAACGATCATTGAACTGGCGTTAAAGGGTTTCTGCTTTAAAAGGCTCGTGTATGCCAATGTATTCATACAAATATTACAAAGTAAAACATTCAACTCATGCAGCAGTGGCAGCTACCTCTGCTGGCTTCTTAACTTCTTTCACCAAAGCTGGTATCGATGGCACTTTCGGCCATGGCTTCTTAAGAGCGTCTTGAATCTTCACCACGCAGCCATCCGGGCCCGCAATACACCCATTCAAAAGCACCAAGCCCTTCTCAGCATCCACCTTCAACACCTTCACATTCTGAATCGTGACTTGATGATTTCCCATCCGTCCCGCCATTCTCTTTCCTGGATGGACTCTCGAACCACTTCCCTGACTTGCACCTGCACTACCCATCGTCCTGTGATTCCTGGAATTACCATGACTAGCCGGCTGACCACTCCATCCCCATTTCTTCATTCCTCCTGCAAATCCCATTCCCCTACTATTCGCCCTGGCATCCACAAATTGTCCCTCTACGAACCATTCTGCCCCAATAATCCTCCCCACATCCAGTAGACCCGCCTCATTCTTCACACGAAATTCAGACATATGTCTCTTGGGCGCCACTTTACTCGCTTCAAAATGTCCCAATTCGGGCCTCGTCACATTGCTCGGGTGCTTCCAGCCAGCGCCCACCTGCACCGCATAATATCCATGCTTTTCTCGAGTCTTGTGAGCTACGACTTGTACACGATCGAGTTGCAGAACGGTGCAGGGGGTACGGACACCGGTTTCGGGATCATAGAGAGCGGTCATTCCTTTTTTGGTACCGAGGGCGCCGGTGCGCAACGGCAGAGTGAAGTCTTTGCGGGCGAGAGCAGCGGTGGAGGAGGCGGAGAGGATAGGGAGACCGGCGCTCTGCTGGTTGAAGCGTTCGGGGTGTGAGCGAGGAGGGGCCGTCGACCAGCCATATTTTACACCACGTTTGGTTATAAGGGGGAGCAGCGATTCGGGGAGGAGGAATGAGGGTGGAATTTGCGCCCAGCTGGTGGGGAGTTTGGGTGCCATGTTGTTGGGTTGGGGGGTCTTGAGCTTATTTGGAAGCGCGCTGATGTGATGGATGGGAGAAAATCTTTATACGGGGGCCGGGAGGGACCCGGGGTGCAGTCAATATCAGAAACGAACGAAACACCGATAACGTTTACTTTCACATAAAAGTACGCAACTTCATGGAAAGATTCACGATATAAATAAAATGGTGTATTATTACACATCCAACACTGTATCGCCAGCAGCGTACATCTATGCTGGAAAAGACAAATACGAAAGTAATGATAAGAAAATCTCAACCCCAACCCCAACCTTAAAGCACATGCTAAAATGCGCACCCCACAGACGAAGATCTCATCAAGCATGGTTTGGAAGAAGATGTATGGTTTCACGCCGACAAGTTGTCGAGTGCGCATATTTATCTTCGTCTGAATGAGGGAGAGGCATGGGATTCGATTCCCGAGGAATTATTGATGGATTGTGCTCAACTTACCAAAGCCAATTCGATTGAAGGTGAGATTGGGGATTTGGGGGGGGGGGAGAAAGGAGAGATACGTGTGGTGAGGTGAGGTAAGGAAGGACATGTGAGTTGATGATTTTGCGAAATTAGGAAATAAAAAAGATAATGTTACGATTATTTATACGCCATGGTCGAATTTGAAGAAGGATGGGAGTATGGCGGTGGGACAAGTTAGTTTTAAGAATCAGAAGACTGTGAGTAGTTTATGCTGTCTTTGTTTGTATGCGTGGTATGATGTTGAGAATTTGTGGCGTAGGTTAAGAGGATTTTGGTTCCTGCTAGGGAAAATGCCATCATCAATCGTTTGAACAAGAGCAAGGTTGAAAAGTTCCCGGATCTGGCTATGGAGAAGGAAGAGAAATTGAAGATTGCAAGGAAGAAGGATCAAGCTGCTCTGTTGGAACGGGTATGTAGTATGCATCTTTGAGTCGTGAGATATATACTGATTGGGGAGCAGAGAAAACAAGAATCCAAACAGGCCCAGGAGTACAAGGAAAAGAAGTGGCAGAAGGATCATGCGTATGATGATTTGTTTGCTCAGGATGATGATGAAGAGGTGAATAATCAAGATAGGGGAGAAGACTACCTCAGTGATTTCATGTAACTTGTTGTATTTATATCAATGAGGTCTAGACTTCTATGATGGAGGTACTCTTGTCCTCTTACCGATACAAATTTTGATAGAAGAATAGGAGATCAATGTTCCATTTTTCAAACACACTTTTTGCAACCCCAGTTTTCAGCCTCTGATATCTGAGTTTCTCCCAATTTCCGTTGTCGTCGACTAGACTTTTCTTCTACTTTCCGCTTTCACCGCACACTAAACCTGATACCAAGATGCACTCCCCCATGCAGGTAGCCCTTGATTCTCACCCCCTTCAGTGTCCAATATTACTACCCATCTGATTCACATTTGTGCCCTTCAACTTATGATCACTTGGGTTTGCCGCCGCCTCATACAAGATATTCGAGGGCGCCTTCCCCAACTGCATCCAATCACCCTTAAAGCCCACATAGCAAATCCGACTCACATCCTCCCCATAATTATCCTCCACCAACAGCGTCAGATTCTGTACTTTCCCAAACAAAGCTCTGCGCACCCCAATATCCTGTATCTCCGACGTCTGGCTCAATTCAAACTCCTGCGTGGGCTGCAGATCCAACGCGGTGCCGAAATCTAGATCGTCGCGGTTGATGAATACTTTGAGGGTCTTGGGAGCCGATTCCGAGTTGGATGTGCGGAGGAGAATTGAGTGCAGTTTTACTTGGCCCGTGAAGCTGTGGGTGTGGTACGCATTATGTTAGCTACGATTGTGAGGTGGGATAGGGAGGTGGGATAGGTAGTTCGGAGGGGTAAAATGGCGGGGTAAACAAACGGGATGTGCATCAAGAGTTGCTCATCGGCATCGCTTTCGAGTTCCGGTTGCTCGTTCATTCGTTCAGCCCATGTTTTCTTCACGATGGCTTTTCCAGAACCAGAGTTGGCTTCGTTGAGTGTGGTTATGTCGTCGAAATTGATGTGTTGGTAGAGTGAGTATTGGAGTGCGGGGGTGATATCGTCGGAATGATCGTGCCCTTCTTCATGAGAGTGGCCGCCATGACCGTGGTCATGTTCATCGTGACAGTGACTCGACATATTTTATCGAGTTTTCTGTGTTTGCTGAACTTTGTAAATGAGAAGAATTAACATTAGGTCTCGAGACGAGTCTTTATATTCAGGTTGTTTGCTCCCTTTGCTCACCGACGGCAAAACTGTCGAAGGATGGAATTTCACCAATCATTCTGTTACTTTCCATATTCATTGGCCGATGTTTACTAGAAAATATCTAGTTGACGGATAGCGACATATAATCGGTGACGAATTATTACGGTGCTCTTGATGTGGTGGAAATAGACACAGACAATCCCATTTGAAATACCGAGTACAGATACTCTAACATAAGCTACTTTACATCATTATGCAGTAAGTTACAAGACATTTCTCTGAAGACTTCTCTATATATCACATTACAAGATCCAACAATCCTTATACCAGATACACCCAGTGAAGGTGATTTAAGTAATCCTAACATGTACTGAAACTTTCTATTTCTAAAATCCTGCAGCTCTGCGCTTCTTCGACTTTTTCTTCCCAGGAGTAGCAGGGGTAGCTAATCTGCTTCCAAAAGCTCCCTTACTCGGTTGAGTCATTGGTATTTCGTTAACAGGTTGTGAGCTGTAAGTGTTGTATATGGCTGGTTGACTGCCAAAAGGTTGAGCTCTGGGCTGAGATGAGGCAGCTGCATTAGCACGATCTCGACTCAAAAACCTTTCTGCTCTTCGTTTACGCCTGGCTTGTTCTCGTCGACCACGATAGTCATCACCACCACTCTCTTCTGCAGCTGCAGCTCTCTGAACCTCCTCCCAAGAATATGCAGCTGGGTCTGCACCTGGAATAGATGGCCACTGAGAAGTCATTGAAGCTCTTGCCGGACCGAAATCTGTTTTCGGCTCAAGGCTAACTGCATACTGGCGAAGTCGGGCAATGGTGGAATCCTCTGCAATCGTAGCGGCCGATATGACCGAAGGAGTCGGAGTGGGTAAACTGAATTGTGGATTTTGTACTGTGTTGGAACGAACTTGGGAGCTGAAGTATGGAGGTGAGCTGGCCCTCGAGACTTCGTCAATATCCTTCAGTGCGCGCAAAGGTGAGCCTTCTTCAGCGATTGGTGGAGTTCTTGGCTCAAGCTGTTGGCTACGGAGTGAAATACCAACTGAGCTCAACCATAATTCCATAGCGATTGTTCGTATGAGTCTGGCCTTTGCAAGACGAACTGGTCCAGGGGTTTTCCGAGGAAGGTTCGTGACCCAAACATTGATGAGTTGATCATACATTTTCAGTAAGTCAGGACATATATCGTCCGATGACTGATCGTCAGAAAATAACATTCCAGGACAAGAGATCAATCTTGAAAGGTGGAATTTTGAAGATGCTTCCCCTTCATCCTCATCAAATGTGTTCATAAATTCCAAAAATTCGATTACAGTTTTAGCTGCCTCATCGAGATCGCCTGAAGGGGATGCATCGTCCGATAGCTCAAGACAGGTTTTCATGGACATGCTGTCCACTTGCTTGTCGTTTTGCATCCTAATTGATATATCTCGAAATGCCATTTCCATATCAGAGTTCGAATCGTTTGACATCGGCTTATTGAATATTCGCTCAAATACCGGTCGCATATTGATCCTGAGAAGTAGATCTGTAGAGACCTTATTGACATTTAGTGAAAGCACATCGTTTTTGGTTGTTAGAGATCTCATCTGATCCACCAGAATGTCTTCGTCTTCGTCATCAGGAACGATGAAGTCATCTGCAAGACGACTAGCGGTCATGCGGATAGAATTATCCACAACTTTATTTGTTGGTGCAATTAGACTGGACCGTGACGTCCATTTCTGTTGAGAATTGAGGATTTCAGATGCCCATAGAGAAGACACTAGCTCGAAGTTTGACGTGAGCACCCATGCTTGATAAAATTTCACGCCTGCTTCCATGAATTCTAGTCCCACTCCCTCGGCTGATTCTCTCGGTATCAGGTAAGGGGCAGAACGTATAGAAAGACTTTCTGCTCTAAACCCCATTTCCTCGCTTATCCCAGGGGAAAGCCTGATTGCCCCCTCGAAAGTCCTCGCGACTTTCCCCTCCATAAAAAAGGTGTACGAATTCAATCGTGAATTTTCGCTCGATGAAATAAATACTGTTAAGTCCGTACCATTCTCATCCTTAGACATTGTCATTGTCATCGTCTCGTCGGTTGCAGTCCTGTAGTGTCGATGCGAGAGAATGACCTTGACTCCAGACTCTCTGTTCAGACCATCCTCGCCAGCCGGTGTGACTTTTAGCCAAAAGATTCGAGTCGTAGTCAAAACAAACAAGTGCGCAAGATCAACAGTACTGCGCTTGATATCCAAGATCCAGTCTTTTAGTAATAAGGTATTGAATGCGTAAGAAGGCAGCCGCGACGGCTTAGACTTCGTATCGAAAATCGCAAGATGTTTTCTATTCACGATTACCATAGTGCTCACGCTACATGCCCAGAGGACTCGGTGCCAGTCGCCAACGTCTCCTGGCAGTTTGTATGATGGAATGGTAGGATCTTCAGCAAAGTCGTCGTAGATATGGGCCTTCTTCCCGGATACAACTTGACATGTAGAGCGTTTTTTTTGTCGGCCTTCAATGTCCCAACTACTCCATCGACCAGTGCGATCTACAATCGCAAATTGTCGAGCGTACCAAGGGTTGAAAGTGACATCCACGTGTTCTTCTGATCCCGACTGTTGGCACATTAACATTGCGACGGGATTTGCGTCAAGACAAGATGGAGGATAGGTTGCGACATGCCCAGCGGGGGCTATGAAAGGCTTTGGCATTTTTCGAAAGATGGGTCTGAAAATCGTGGTCATAGCTGCCTGTCTAACAGCGAACCAGGTACTGAGCTCTTTTCCGTCATCGACAGAGGCAATCTGCAGAATCGTCCCCCCAGTACCAAACCAATGCCCTTCATCTGAGTTGGTAGCACCCATCAACGATAATCGAACTCCATTTTGAGACTCCCACCCAACTTTTTCTGAACAAGGTTTGACCAGTTTCAAAACGTGGCCAGCTTCACCGCACGGTATTGCTACTATGAGTACGATTTTAGAACCAAAGGTACGATTGACATTCGCAGCTCCTCCAATTCCCATTAATGTACTTGTGTTAGAACGTTTGAATGTCGCATTCGGGAAATCCTTCAAAAGATTTGCTGCAAGACTTGCTCCGGGAAACGTTTCGGGTCGCTTTTTCGCGAGCCATCTCTGTTGTTTATGGGCAATCGTCGAGTCTACTTTTCCATTTCCAGGTATAGTTCGAATCGAGGGAGGAATGGATTGCGCGAATGGAAGAAGTTGTTGAAATCGATGAACTGTGGACCAGTAAGTACAGACAGGCTCAATCAAAGTCAAAGAAGAATCAAACCCTACTTTTAGTCAAATCCTGCGAAAACAACCATTGCTCTTCATTAATATCGTAAGAAAATTCTCCAAAATGACCATGTACCAGGTCGGTCGCCCTATGGTCAGTCATTGGGTTTTCGTGGACTTCTATTTGCACAATAATCCCTTCCAACCATTTCGGAGCTTCGCAGACTTGTTGAGAAGTGAATTCGGGGGATCAAGGTAAGGTATGAAAGTCAGAGTTTCTGTCATAAAAGCAAAAAAAGCAAAAAAAGCAAAAAGACTGGTTTGGTAAAATTAAATTATTCTTTTTTCTGAGACCGCGCCGCGACTTCTATCGGCTCCACTAGTGGCGGGGCCTTGGGATCGGACAAAATATTGGTTTCCTTGACAACGCGGTTATCGGGAATGCCATTTCTGGTTTTGCATTTCTTCTTGTCATCAAGCAACGCGCATAAATACTCAACCCAACGAGAATCATAATCATCAACATTTACCATACCATTTCGACTCCGACACATTACAACTTATACAAACTGCAATATTTTCTGATATTCACCACAATATCACAATGACTACTATGTTTGACCCTTCGATGTCTACCAGCTTCTCCAGCAGCATGATGCGACCACCTATGTCTTCCGCAGACACCCTATCGATGGCAGATACGCTACCAAGTATTAACTTTGGTTTTGATGAGTTGCGCGACAGAATGGCAAAATTTACAGTCAAATTTGATGCCTTTATAGAGCAAGGGAGGAAGCGCGTTTTGGAGGAAAGAAACCAGTTCCGAATGAATGTTACTGAATTGCATGGTGAGTACGCTATCATTTGGCTGAGGCGCATTTAACTAATGTATCACAGAGGATCAACGTATGAAGAAAAGAGATATCGAAGTCTTGTCGTCAAAAAGTAGTTCGCATCAACAGACCCTCGCGAAGGAGGCCGCGGAAACGGCCGAAATGCAAGCAGCGATTGCATCGTTGAGTGCTCAACGAGACGCACAACTTGCAACAAGGGAAGCCTTGAAAAATCAGATCACCGAAACACAAAAGGCTATAAATGGACGAGTTACTGCGCAGAAATCTCATGCTCAATATATCGACAAGCAAGCTCGATTCAATGTACCTGAACTGGACTTCTGGACTTCGAATTTGGGTCTATTGATTGAAGGGGCTGGGCAAAATGATCGATTGAAGTTTATCTTCACGAATGTTGATGATAGTGATTACGATAAAGAGGCTTGGTTTGAGCTTGATACGTCGAAGAGGGACTATGATATCCCATATTGCAAGCCGAAATTGGACAAGGAGCAAATCGAAAGGGTAGTGGATAAGTTGAATGAGACTCGGGATTTACGTGTATTGTTGAAGGGGATGAGAGAATTATTTGTTGAAGCTGTGAAGAATTAAGGCCGGGGGAGTGGAGGGAAAGAAGAAACGACGAAACTAAATGGCTGGTGTCCCTAATGATGATGACATTTAATTTGATTACAATTGTTTGACTTTTCATGCATTGGTAGATGTCTCTCTTTAACCTTAAAACCCAGTATCATCCCAACAGATTACAATAAACCCCATCATTTATTGAAACCATCTAGAAACCCATCCTACAGGAGGATATCTCATCCCATACCCAAAACCCGAAGTCCATCAAAAATGATTTTTGTAATACCAAAATACATTTTGCTATCCCTACAGTACTGCATAAAATTTCCCCGCAATCCCAACCTTATCTTCATTCATCTCATCTCATCCCCCCTTCCATAAATAAATAACACCACACAACCATACCATACCGATACATACATCACCAAACGCAAAAATGGCCGACACAACCCAAAAGCCGGATGCCACCAGCGCAGCGCAAGCTCGTCAGGTCATCAATGTTTTTCATGAGATTTCTACTTTGCTTGTAGGTTTTGTTTGTGTTTGTGTTTTTGTGTTTTTGTGGGGGGATGAGGGAGCGAGGGAGTGAGGGAGAAGGAGAGGAGGATGGGAGAGGGATGAAAGAGGGGTGAGAGAGGGATGAGAAAGATTAGAGAAGCTAACAAGAAACACAAACAGAACGCCGAACTCGATCGCGGAACCCTAAGTATATGTATAAGTCTCATCGAAAACGGCATTAATCCGGAAGCGCTTGCTGTGAGTTTATCCTCATATTGGAGTTTTATGGGGGTTATGGGTTGGGTGGATTGGGAAGATGAATAGATGAATAGATGGAAGGGGGGAATTGCAGAAGTGTATAAATGGGAAAGAAAGAAGCTAATGTGATAATTTGCGAAATAGACGGTGGTAAAGGAATTGAGGAAGGATGCGGATGAGGTGAAGAAACGGATTGCTGAGGGGGGTGTGGGGGAGGTGGAGTGATTGAGGGTGATGGGGGTGAGGATGAGGATGAGGATGAGGATGGGATGTGCGTTGATTGAGGAGTAGGGTTGGAGAGGGGGGTGTACACTACGAGTCAATGCAGAGGTTCTGCACGGTTTTTATACATGGCGTTTGGGAAGGATATACCGGGGCGTTTATGGAGGGGTTTAATGACATTCGGGGTTTGGCACAAGGTCCGGAGAGTTATGGCAATCGCCTAGGTATGTATGGCATTGCATTACTGCTTCTGGAGTTTATTTCAGAAAGCAATGTCTCGGTAGCATCACGGAGAGAAACTCTCACATGTGGTCTTGATCTCGACATGAGCGAATGAGAATGGGAGTCATCAGAGAATTGATATTGAGATTAACAATCGAAAGAATGATAACTTTACTACTCCCAAAATAACTACAGAAGTCATACATGTATCAACCTCCCCCCCTACCCATGCCCAGAATTATATCCAGTGCGCCTTCATACCCTCCAATATCTTGTCATACAATGCTGCAGGCGCTCCAACCAACGCCAAAAAAAATGCAAGCTCTTCCCATTGCCAATCCATGCAAGTATCAACGGTGTCCAAAAATGGCAAAGGGTTCCTCTTCGCCGTCGTCATCGTCATCATCATCATCATTCCCAGATTCCGAGTCACTGGAATCATATTCATATTCAATATCGTTATCAACTTGTGCGTCTGCTTCATGTGTCGCCTGCGATTCTCTCGCATTTCTCGGTTCATCTCTCCCCCAAAAATCCAGGTCATCTTCGTCTCCAGATGCATCGCTTTCGCCGCCAGCCACTGGTTGATTACCAAATATTCCTAGCCCTCTAGCAGGCGACACTGATCTTCCTAACCGAAATGGTATGGGATAAGGAGAAAATCGACCAGATTCTCCCTGTGATGAAGAAGAAGGTACGTGAGAAGAGTGTCTGCGATTCCTAGGAATACCTGGTATCAGATGCGTAGATGAAGACATTTCTCGAGGTTCCTGACTCGTTGATCTGTCGTTTTGTGTATCTCCTGTGCCTATAGCCGGCGTCTCCACTTCCGGATCACTTAGTATTGACAGCTGAGCTGTGTTGTATGAGTCACATATAGCACATTTTAGTCCCAACCAGTGGTACTTGACCGCACTCTTAGCATAGCAATCGTTACATGAGACCATAGCCAAAGTATTTCGAAATTGAGGCGGCATTGGCTGGTGATCAATAGCTCGATCCATATTTCGAAACTGGGTCTCCATCCCGACCACACTCTTGCTACATATCGGGCACTTGTATGAAGTTTGCATGTGCTCGGTATAACAAGTTGAGTGAATGCTGTGACCACAGAGCATGAATACAACGGGTTTTGGTGAAGTAAACATGTAGTCCCCGCAAATAGGACAATCGCAGTCAGATACCCTCTCAATGCATTTGTGATCGTCCATAAGAGACATAGACATACACACGCCGCAAGTCTATCAATCTTGTAAGCAGAATGTAAATGAATTGGTTAGCTTGGAAGGGATCTACCTTGCAATGAAAGAAATCCTTCCCCAGACCGCGACCTTTTCTGCATATTCCACAATCATTGCAGTGATAAATACTTTTATTGATATCGTTATCCCATAACTTACACAACCCGCAATAGTACCATGCAGTCCTCTCCCCACACTCGACACAAAATTCCCCCGCTCGTTGAGCGCAGCCACATATCATACATAGCATGTTCTTAGTCGCATGGCGGATTAAAATATGGTCCTCGACTTCGTCATGACACAATCGACACGTGTACCATCGATCACACGTGGAGCACTGTAACTTGACATTTCTTTTGTAATGTTTACACCCGAGTTTAGGTATGAAATCTTCGGTATTCTCGGATTCTTCGCTCCCGTCATCAACTTCGGGAGGATCAAAGGGAGCGTAAGTTCTCTTCAAGTCGTCTGGAGAAAGGTGAAAAGTATGACTTTCGGTTGCCGGTGCCGGATCCAAAGTACCATTCATCTGCCAAATGAAAGAACTTAATGAGCCCGGAGTTGCAGGTCTCTCTTGACTAATCATTTTGTCTGAGGCCGTAGTTGGTACATAATTCTTCGCATTGAATATTTCGTGGGCTTCAGTATAGCCTTGAGTCAAGAGCTGATGCATCAATAATGCCTTTTGTTCTGTAGGGGTATCCATAGCTTGTATATACTTGATGCGCTGTCGAAGAGGACCCATGCCATCGTCCGCAGGAAGAGCACTGCTGCCCATATCAAGATTCATTGAAGCCGAAGTGGAATTTTGACTTGAATGTTGAGATGAACCTTCAGCGGGACTCCTATGCAAATCAAGAACATTGAGAGCGGCATTGCCAGATGTTCCTTCTATAATGTTGCCCTGAGTCTGAGATGCTATGTCGGAAGGAGGATTGTCAGACATATAGCTATCAGCTTGACTCATACTCGACTGTATATGCGAAGGTGCCAACGAATCAATGAGGTTTCGATCGACCTCATGTCGAAGGCTTTGAATATGGTCTGATGAATTCCCTCCATCCTCATGGGTTGTAGATGAATTCGACAAACTCCGAGTTAGGTTATCGACTCCTACATATTCCCTTGAATCTGGCAGATCCATAGCAGTTTCTCCTTCTATCACACCTTCTATAACGACTTCATCAACCTCATTATTGCTTTCTGGGACGAGGTGCGGGGTTAAAGGATAATTCGAGTTGCGGGTATGAACAGGTCTGTCGGATCGTGAAAATCGTCTGGCCTGTCGTAGAACTGGATTAATCAAAAACTCGGACACAAGAGAGCTCATTTAGGGATCATTTGCTTCATGTAAAATTTATTTTGTTTTTTGTTTATATTTTAATAATTTATTTTTAAGAGCTTGATTGTCCATATTTGGTAATATATATGGTGGTAGAATTAGATTGTCTAGTCTAACTCTGGAGGCAAGTCCGATGACGCACACGGAACCATCCGAAACATGAAGATTTTCACATGCGAACAGAGTTTCAAATTATTTCTATTTTGAATTCCTAATCCATCGCAAAATTAAAATAAGCATGTCGTCTAAGGGAAAGGATTATATATACGCATATCGAGGTCTCTACCGAGCTCTATTACATGCTGTACAATATGCAAAGCCGGCGCGGTACATAGCAAGAAATATGTTGAGAAAGGAGTTTCGCAAGGGAGATCCAGCATCATTCGATCAAGTGCGAATTGACAATACTATCAATTTTTTGAAATCTGCAGCCAAAGAGACTGGTCTTGAGCATAAATTAGTAAAGAACCTTTTGCGGGTACAGTGGGAACGGGGGAGTCAATGGAAAGAGTACATCAATCTTCAACCAAATGAGCATCGATAGTGGAATACTAATTCTTTTGTAGGCAACTCAAGGAAAGGAATCCTACGCAACAACACTTGAGGCAAAATACTATGACACATTACGACAAAACTCTTGAATTGCTCAATGAAAGCATGGGTCTCTGTCTACGCTGAGGGAGGCTCCAATTTGAGGAGAAGCAATTATCGACTTTATGGCTTTATGCCCATGATAAGTTAAAAGTCCGTTTGCAGAAGACCATTCGTTTTGCCGAGACAGATATTTCAAGAGGACCATTGTCCCTCAGCTAGTGACAATCAATCGATTGTCACTTCTGACACAAACTTTGTATATCGCGGAATCGTGATGGATCACGAGTAGGGGATTTGGGAAGGCATGGGAAGTTAGAAAGTTGGAGAGATCTTAATTGTCGAATCTTTGCACGGCCTAGTCATATGGAGAACGACTTGTCATATACGGAGTACCGGTACGAGTATAATCTGTCTAGTCCTACCAATGGTTGGAGATGGGTACCTGAGGAAGAGGCCTCAAGAAATCACAAGCTAGATATGAGGGTTACTGCTTATAGCAATAATGCATGACGAATGATATTGATGAGATCATTTCAGCTGACTATCATCAATGTTAGCCTGATTGTCTACGATGTAGCACCTCAGTAGTTCCAACCGATGACGGCCTACTTTAGCCGATAGCTACTAAAATGCTCTGTTGATAATGATAAGTATTTGAGTACTTAACATGAAGAGTGGCTGGTGTATTATTCCCTACCTCCACATCTATCCAGTTGTGAATACCCAGGTGGTGTTTCTCGTTGCCCCCTTCCCTTGTCTAAAGGTGATGAATGGATGATATTACTCGTACTGCGGGTGCGGGGGTTTATCCAATCCTTAGCTGCCCTGACTTGCTGCATTCTTTCCTTTCAATTAATGATATATCAAGTGGGGGAATACTTCTTTGTTCGATACTAAACGACCATCGACCATCGTGATAGATTTCCTTTCTTGATCTAGCTATTCACCAGATATGTGAATACCTAGTAGTCCTTTACTTACATGTATTGAATAATATTTATGATGTGACTGTATATATGTGTATAAGCCATTATTACCAAGCATATATATGTACTGTACTGTATCTGCAAATAGTGGATCCCGCATTTAGCGAACCCATCTCCAAAACATGAGATTGATTTAATACTCAATGTTAGACTTTCCACATAGATTCGAATCAAGAAGTGATTTACGTCCAAATTAACAAGCCAACTTCCAAGCCCCACGTACTTCAATCATTCAATGAAGCCCTTGCCTAACATCAAATAACTGTGACGCCCTTAGTTAGCTCCAAAGCTCTTCTCGTGTCCGTATCTCTAGTAGTACTATTCTATTCTCTATTATAATAATATTATACTGAGTACGTACTTGTTACCGGTACTCGTACTTGTATATATCTCGCAACCCCGCCTTCTCTCGGAATTCACCTTTCCCCAAAACCATTTATCTTTTTCGGCTGCAACTTTGCAGGTGAATTCTTCCGCTCGATTTTTATAATCGACAGAAGACTTCATGGACGATCATTGGCGTTTGCCCTTATCGCGATCGCGTTGAGGACTCTGGTCGATTGACCACTGTCTTCCAGCGCCCGCCACGAATAATAACTTGCCATTATGCCTGTTAAGCCTGGTCAACATGATGTGATCAACCAAGAACAATTCCTACGTTATCCTCACGATAGATCGAAGGCACAGAAGAGATGGGTGAAACGATATCGAACAGAAGTTGCTGCGTCTGTCAGCAGCATCTGTTCTACTTTCTGCGCAGTAAGTTGTTTGTGCATCTCCTCAAACTTCGCACTTGCTGATTTCATCTCAGTTTCCATTGGATTCAGTGAAAACACGAATGCAAACCTACAGATACAATAACTTTACGGATTGCGTTCGACATACATATCAAACAGAGAAATTACGAGGATTTTTTCGTGGAGTTGCAGCACCTTTAGCTTCAGTAACTTTGGTCCGAACAATATCTTTCTCAGTATATCAGCGGTCAAAGTACACATACGCAGCCTGGTTCAAGAGAAATTTCGACATCGATCCATTGGTGCATGTCAACACATTTGGAACTTATCCTACATTTTCAACTATTGCTTGTTTCGGAGCTGCTGGTGCCACAGCGGGATCGTTCATAACGCTTGTAGCTTGTGGGTAGAAAAGTTCAGTTCATTGGCTTTCCTCCAGACTTCTGACATTCTCCAGGTCCCTTCGAATTGACAAAACTCAGTGCTCAAGTATCGGTGTTGATGGCTGCTAAACGACAAACCAGTGGTTCCGATCCTGTGCGAAATTCACCTATACAAAATGCAACTGCAGCAAGCTATAAAGACAAAGGGACATTCAAAACTGCTATGAATATTATCAAGCACCGTGGGGTATCAGGACTCTATTCGGGATTTAACCTTCACCTTCGTGAGTAGTCTTCCTACTTCAATATTGCTGTCATAGACTAATCTCGTCTCATATAGTTCGGGATACGCTAGGAACGGCCATTTACTTCATGACTTACGAAAGTTGTAAGCAACTCTTGACTACATATACAGGAGAGCGGGGTTCAACAAGTCCCTTTGCTGTCGTTGTTGCCGGCGGTTTCTGTGGCATAGCAAGCTGGGCACTGATTGTGCGTATCAAAACATTCATCTGTGATTTTAGCCAAGCAACTGACTTTTGATAGTACCCGATTGACTCCGCCAAAAGTATTTACCAACGGAATTGCCTGACCTGCTGCAAAGGTGAGACTGTTCAAAAGGCACCAAAGATTCAATTCTTCGACAAGAGAATGTACCGAGGCCTGGGTGTGTCCATGGGTAGATCATGCGTTGTAAACTCAATATTCTTCTCGGCATTCGAATGTAAGTGAATTCGTGAATTCTAAAGATTTCCAGTTGGTTCACAACTAACAACATATAGTTATCAAGAAGAACATAAATTCGCTTCCGGATTGATGAATCATCTGGAGGTTGGAGTTGAGGTTTTTGTAAATATTCATTTTGTATGGAAGTTTGGCATGCACCAGCGTCAGGGAAATGGAGTTTTTAAAGGGGCATATGGCTAGGGTTTATCTGCATGGAATGAGGAGAATCATCTGAGTTTTTGAGTTGATATGATGGTATCTGAAATGAACAAAATTTGCTAAATATACGGACGGCAATGGTAGGAGATCGAATGAAGGCTGTACATTTGCCTTTTTATAGGTAGATAATTGGCAATGAATACAAGAAAGTTTACCTTACGATTGTAGATAGAAGGAACATCTTCGCATTTACATTGCCGCCTAAATTTCTCATTCGAACCTACTGGACAATATAGTACCTCATCAACAGCTCCCAGCATAACATGTTTCATCTGGCTGAGGTATGAAAGGGGGTGGGGGCGGCGTTTATATCACTCTCCTCTCTTGAATCTGCACCCAGATTCACGCCCTCTACAAGCAGCTTCCTCCAAGCTATTCCTCGGCTCCGCAATGCCATATTTGCCTTGCCTTGCCTTACCATTCCATACAATTCCAACACTACATAAGTGTTCAATGCAAATTACACAGTTCCCTATCTACTCGAGTAGCCTCTTTCAAATTTCTTCGGCCGCTTTTTTTCTTCATCCCAGCACTTGTTTCCCATGTAAGATCTTATAGTAATGAGTGGGTTTTGCTGTTCGGGGCAGGGGCCAGGAAGAAGGGTTAAGGGTCAGGAAAAAAGTCTACTAGGTATATGTATACGGTTTACTCGAGTACTGTATAGTGTAGATATAGATATAGATATAGATAACTTGATGAGCATTTTTGGAGGCTATCTATGTTGTGTTGTGTTGTGTTGTGTTGGAGATGATGGTTGTGAACTTGTGATGAGGTGTTATGGATTGCTTTATACGCAGTGTTGGACAGTATCTAGCTTTCAATGAAGTATCGAGGGTGATGATGTGTGTACTGGATTGATGGATGGATGGATGGCCGATATCTAGATTAGGATTTGTAATTGTATTTATCGTGTTCATGTTCCTTACCTAAAGAGCTCGTTCTGGCTCTGACTCTGACTCTGACTCTGACTCTGACTCTGACTCTGACACTGGCTCTGGCTCTGGCTCTGGCTCTGGCTCTGGCTCTGGCTGTTGTGGTGATTTGTGATGGATACCATGCCCTTGATAGATGTATATCGCATGCTCAAGTAGAAACCTATCATCTCATCTCATCCCATCAACTTGTTCCCTGCAGGTCTTAAAGATTTGCTGATATGTGCACATGCTGGTGGTATGTTATATTATGGAAGTGCTCAGCGTAAAACTCTGGGCCAGATCGAAGATTCGAAGGACGTCTTTCGAGTATACGGCTATGTAGTTCTAGTGGGATGTGTTATTTGGTGCTAGAGCTTCGTGGGCTCGGTTCTCCGTAGGCGGGAGTTCCTACCTGTTCCTATCCGTGTTACAGTAAGTGTACCAATATAGCTACGATGTCTATAGCCAACCAAAACAGAAAGTCCGACATAGAGCTTCGGTATTGGATGGGGAGTAATGAGACGGTAGTTCTCAATCATGGCTCGCAGGTTAAAGCTACTGTATATCACTTGCGTATGAGCCACGTATCTCGCTACATAAGCATGAACACCCAAAAATTTCATGGGAGTTGAAACGGTCTGGGTGAGGAACCCAGACCAATAATGTACGCGGCAGAGATATCAGGGCAACAGCGCAAGCATTATGCAAGCGAGACAGGGAGATAAATGGCATAGAAGTCGCAGATGATGGAATATCGAAGATAAGCTGATGGAGGAATGGAATAATTCATATGATCACCAGTGGGTGCACAGTATCTCGCTCATCGGAGCCAGAAAGTACTATTTCCAAAGGGATGATTGTTTGGAAAGAAAGGTTCTGCAGCTAATGACAAGCCTGATGGGCTTTCTCTGCGGAACACACCGCATATGTTTGTAAACACAGTCTCTCAGCATTTATTTTCTCAGGATGCCTTCCTCTTCTGCGGTCACAATCTCCCACATTTCAACCTCAGCCTTTTCTTCTGAAAATCTGTGCCTATTAACGGATCCTGTCTGTAGCACTTCGACGTCAACGATCCGCTCACTGTTTTTCTCTATTATATTTGGAAGAGCCATATCGAAATAGTCGATCACAAGGTATTGCTCATCGGCTGTTAATTCGGAGCTCGCCAAGAATCGTTCCTGTAAAGACATGTTCATCACTACTTTGTAGTAGCGTAAGTGGTGTCTACGAGGAGTTGGAAGAATGTTTCAGTTGCAGGGCATATTGCTTCAACAGTACTTGCTCACGCAATGCGTTCCAATTGAGAAATAAAAGCACGACTTCGTGGCCCAATGTTCTCTAGCCACGACAACTGTATCCTATGTCCAACCCATCTGAGAAAAGAAACCCATTCTTACTGTAGAATATCGAGGCAGCTTAGTAAGCTACTGCACTATTGCATTGAAATAATCTGATATAGGACTTTGTGTATCGGAAATTGCGGCGTGGTACTCCTTTGCCGTATTCAGAACATTTAAGACCAAAGTTTTACTCATCGTATGCCAGATCATGCTACAATAAGGAGCGGAATTGTCAAGGCAATTTCTTAGCATTGATCGCGAAGTTCGCGAGATAGAGTAAAGAGCGTTGTTCGAGATTTGGAGGCGAGGACAGATGAGAGTGAGGGTGAGGTTGGGGGTGAGATTAGACCAGGTGTAAGGAAGGTGGGCACGATGAAATGATACTGATATCAGTGGAAGAAAAATGAGGAGCAAGCCTTGATTCACACTCGTGAAGAAGCTCAGGCGATGATGCTTGCATCTCGGTCACAAATATTTCGAAGTGGCCAACTCTCTGATAGGTAACATCCAGAATGCGGCCTATAAGTCGACGAAATCGTTGCTCTCTTACTCAAGAGGAGAGGAGATGCAATTGCACTCTTATGGCTTCCCGCATCTGGAAGAACATCTTAAAATTTTAGCTGTAATTAATATTAAAAGATTTCCGAAAGTAAAAAAACCCCTTACTAAATATATATTTATTTTACTTTATTATTATTATTATTATTAGAATAATAATAATAAAAATAGAAAATAGAAAATAATAATAATGTGACGGAACAGACGGCTCTCTTCCGCCCACTGGCTCATACTACATATGTAGTATG